CTAGGTTTTTGGCCGCCCATACCAAAAACACTTTGGCCGCCCCCCCTCCCCCCCCGGTTCTTTAATTCCCCCCCCCCCGGCCCCGCCTCAACTCTGCCCCTTCCCCAAATCCCCAGCCCTGCCTTCCCCCCCCAGGCTCTCAAGCCTGGGAGGGAGGGAGGGGAAGAAGCGGCGCCCGCGCCGCGGCCACTCGGAGTCTCCCCCTCCATCCCTCCCAGGCTCTCAAACCTGGGAGGGGGGGAGACTCCGAGTGGCCGTGGCGCGGGCGCCACTTCTCCCCCTCCCTCCCTCCCTTCTAGGCTTGAGAGCCTGGGGGGAGAAGGCAGGGCTGGGGATTTGGGGAAGGGGCAGAGTTGAGGCGGGGCCGGGGGTGGGGTAATTAAAGAACCGGGGGGGGAGGGGGGACGGCCAAATTGTTTTTGCTTTGGGCGGCAAAAATCCTAGAGCCGGCCCTGGAAACACGTGAGATTTTTTTAGAAGGTAAATCATCAAAACACAAATTAAACACAGGCACATAAGTACAGCTACTTTGTTCCATCAAACCTATGGATTTATTAACATTATACATTTTTTAACGATTACTGTAATATACAAAGTTTTTAAGTTTTCAAGTTGTTAAGCTAATTGTAGTGTAATTTTCGATGAGGGGTGTGAGAACATATTTTGAGAACTCCAGACTGTCAGCGGGCTTAGTGGGGCCAGGTGTAGGTATTAAATTTCTCCCCATAGGAATGTGCTACGTACGGTGTACTACTTACGGCTGCCAGTCCTGGGGGCAGGGGGTCCCGGGAGAGGGTGGTCAGGAGCCAAGGAACGGGGGGGGGGTTGGATGGGTGGGGGGTTCTGAAGAAGGCAGTCAGGGGGTAAGGGGTCCCCGGGGGGTTGGATGGGTCAGGGATTATGAAGGGGGGCAGTCAGGGGGCAGGAAGTGGGAGGGGGCAGATAGGGGGCGGGCTGTTTGGGGAGGCACAGCCTTCCCTACCCAGGTGTAGTGTATTACATTTCTCCCCGTAGGAATGTGCTACTTACAGTGTACTACTTATGGCTGCCAGTCCTGGTGCTCCGCAAGTAGCACATTCCTACGGGGAGAAATTTAATACATTACGCCCGCAGACAGAACCCCAGACCGCCGGCTCCTGCCAGCCGGGGTCCCGGCCGCCGGCCCTGCTCAGCCTGCTGCCGGCCTGAGGTTCTGTTCACCCAGGCCGGCAGCGGGCTGAGCGTGGGCGGCGGCCGGAACACCAGCTGGCAGCAGTGTGCCAGTAAAAATTGACTCACGTGCCACCTTTGGCACATGTGCCGCAGGTTGCCGACCCCTGGGATACACCTACAGCAAGTCTTCAAAAACAAGTCACTCTCTAACCTAAATACGAGTATTTCAGAAGCCCCATCACCTTCATATTTAGAAGCTGTACATGAATTGTAGAATAGTGATATTTGTCCAGATGGACCAGACAGTCGCTGTTTTATAAGTGGTTATTTATAGGCTTTTCTAGCTTTGATCATGCTGCTGGGGTTTCTTCTGCTCTGATGCTTTATCTGTTGTTATGACGAAGAGTAGACCTTTACATCTGAACATGGTCAGAGCCAGGGTCTTTCTGATTTCCTTTGGGGGGTTATTCCAGAGCCTCAGGACTGCTGTTGAGAAGGGTTTTCCTCCAGCATAAGACCTTATATGTGGGATGTGTCAGTCGTGATCTGTTAGATAATTACATCTAGCATGGGGGGGTCCTAGAGAAGAGTGTAAGCAAAATTCCTCAAAAGGCTTTGTAGCTCAATTCCAGAAAATCCAATAGTGATCAGGGAACTAATGCAGATTGTGGAGCTCCATTATAATAATCTCTCTTCAGCTCCTCCTGTGTGGGCTCCATTGGTTAGCAAAGTGCTTGAGGACTAATGCATCTGTCTTCACCCAGGGCCCTGCAAAATGTAAGACTGGCCCCATCCAAAGGACAAATGTACTTTATCAGCCAACTGCCTCATGTTAAACTTGTTACATTTGATATCTACTGGAGTAAAGCGTATTCCCCCTCCCCCCCTTTTTTTTTTTAATGCCTGATAATTTGTAGAAAGCTTTCTTAGTCAGTGTGCACATGGAGTTTGGAACTCTGTTCTGGGTAGGCCTTGAAATTCTGAGTTAGTTTGTTTCTTAGGACAATTATAGAAAGATATGGTTACAGTGTAAGATAAATCTGTGAAATTTACTGGTAAAAGAAATGTAGTAAGTGTAAAAAGAATTGAACATTTCTGTGAATAAGAATAGTATCTAAAGTTACATTAGCTAGGCTAAAAATTGTTATTGCTGTTGTTAATTAGATAGTACCTCAAATGTGCATGGCTCTTCAATTTCTCCACTTGTAAAATGGGGATCATAATACTGACTGCCTTTGTAAAGTGCTTGGAGATCTACGGATGAAAAGCGCTGTGTAAGAGTTAGGCGGTGTTATTATTTATTACTTACAGAAATAAAAAAGATATAGTCCTTTACCAATACAGCAGTCATTATGCTTTAAGGTAAAAGTCGATCATCAACTAGTGTCATCCCAGCATAGTATTGCAAATGTAGGTGCTTTATGTGTGGTATACTTAAGGCTTCCTTTGAAGTATGAGGCATAAGATACTGCACTAGGTGATCTAGTATGGCACAGGGTAGCTCTTATGTTCTTAGATTTCCATTTTCCAGAAGGTTTGGATTGTTTTGCTTAAATAATTCTTTCAAAACTAAGCATTTTTGACAGGTCTTTCAAACAGGTATAAATAGATGATAGTTAATGCTTCAGCATTGTTTTTTCTATAATGGGGTCTGACTAGTCCCGCTGATGCAGGTTGCTGATACTGCTACTCTTGATAGATGCTTTAAGCAATCTCCTTTTACTGATCTGTTTTAATACGATTTTTTGATCCTCAGGCAATGTTGTGTAGGAACAGAACTGGTGGACTGGATGATGCAACAAAGTCCTTGTGTTCATTCACGAACACAGGCTGTCGGCATGTGGCAAGTATTGCTGGAGGAAGGTGTTCTTAACCATGGTAAGATAAACATCGTCAGATGCCAGCTAATGTGTTGGAAATGCCTCTCATCAAAGTCTTTATGGGTCTCCTTCATGAAAAAAGAATGATGATCCCATTAGAAATACAGCAGACTGTGTCTTAATTCATCCAGCTAAATGCAGCAGTATTGACTTTGTAACTCAGGAGAATGTTAAAAAAGTAAATGAAATTGCAATCTAATGGTGGCAGGAATTCTAATTATGTTTATTAGTGTGTATTCAGGGTTCATGGTTAATGTGATTATATAGTCATCTTTGTATATATTGAAAAAAAACCATGAGATGTGCTGGCACAATGACATAAAAGTAATGGATTTTGAATAGAGGTGGGCCTGAGCTACAACATTTGGACCTGGATCCAGATGTTTCCAAGTGTTTGGATCCATGGCTTTGGGTTGGCCTGTTATAAGGACCACTTAAAAAATTCAGATCTGGATCTCAAACGTCCTAATGTTCAGATCTAGATTTTGGTTTGGGTTTATCTCTGTTTTCCCCCCTGCCTTTACATATACCATTGGTATGTTATCTACGGAAATAAATTTTTATACAACACCCCTCCCGTCCCCTTCTTTAACATCACAAACACTTTCAGATCAGGTTCAGTGGCCGAGGTTTTGTGTGTGCAAATCACTGAACTTCCAAACTGTACCTCCATCTACTTACTGTGTCCCTTGCACCCCAGAGAGGATTCATCCCTGTAGGAGGGCAGAGTGTTTTCTCCACTGCCCTTCCCTGAGGGGAATTACAGCTCTAACGTCTGACAAGGGCTACACAGAACCTGCAGTGTTTGCTGCATGGATGCCTTGAATCAGCCCACCACCTGGCCACCCTGGCCATGCCCCCTGTTAAGTCAGCATTTCCCACATTTGGAGTGGAACTGCCTGCTTGCTTGGATGGGAGATTGTGGGTGGGTGTTTTGCCCTGTTGTAATCTTATCGTGACAGACATTCTGCTCTCAAAGGCCTTCCTTCCACTAAAGTCTGTGCCAGTGAATTTGGCCCTGCCAATATACACAGTAACCTCCGGGGACCCTTGTGGTCGTTAGAGTAGCTTAGAAGGAGTTTAGATACTTCTCAATATATTACCTTTAGGCTGTGGCCACACTGACTGGGTAAGGAAATCATACTAGAGGGTCTTGTTGGAACAGGGGGAGGGATAGCTCAGTGGTTTGAGCATTGGCCTGCTAAACCCAGGGTTGTGAGCTCAATCCTTGAGGGGACCATTTAGGGATCTGGGGCAAAAGCAGTACTTGGTCCTGCTAGTGAAGGCAGGGGGCTGGACTCAATGACCTTTCAGGATCTCTTCTAGTTCTATGAGATAGGTATATCTCCATATATTTAAAAAAAAAACAGCTTTGTTTAAATAGAGTTGTTGTTAATACAATTATTGGACCAGTGTGGACAGTTTCACTTGAATGAATTGCTTTGGGAAAAAAATGTGTGTGAGAAAGCTACAAGTATAGAAAGCATTTGTAGTGCAAAATTAAGGAAAAGTTCCTAGACCTGCAGTTTTGTACAAACTATTAACGTATATCAGCAATAAGGCAGCAATTCACTCTCTTGGTATTTCTCTGCCATTTTCTCTTGCTTGTTAAACTATTATTTCTCTGCCACACACCACATAATATACCATTTCTGTGAGGGTTCCTTTTTAATGAGGAAAGTTTAATATTGATACCTGATGTCAATGATGTTGCTTGCAGTGGATCAAGAACACCATTTCCAAGACAAATACTTGTTTTATCGATTTTTGGATGATGAGCATGAAGATGCCCCAATGCCAACGGAGGAAGAGAAGAAGGAATGTGATGAGGAGCTGCAGGATACTATGCTTCTGCTGTCTCAGATTGGTCCAGATGCCCATATGAGGATGATTCTCAGAAAACCGTAAGCAGATTAATAGGTTAATATTTTAGATCAGTCTCAGCACCCCTGAACTTTGCAACACAGTGGGATCAAAATTTTAGCCCAAATCTATAGCCAATTTTTGTTGCTCATGCCTCTGAAAAAATCTTTATATTCTGCAAGCCTTTTTCTCCATATAACAAGAGAAACTATGAGGCAGCTATAGCATATTGATAGGCTTCCTTTTCACTGATTACTCTATTTCAGCATCAGTCCATTGCAGCTGTACAAAATGTAAAAGTGTCTTATAAGGATATCCCATGAGGTGTTCGGAACAGAGAGAACATATTTCATATTTTCAGCCTATGGTACCATATTAACGACTGTTATAAAGCTCACTTTTCGTACATTACATTACTGGAAGTTGGGCATCCTGTCTGTGCTAAGATGTATCAATGTTTTTAAAACCTCAGTGAATCCTCAAAGGCCTAGCAGTTTTGATTAGACACCACTACATCTACAAGGAGTGCAAGGATGTGTCAGGGCCTCAGGGACATTGGCTCTGCGTCAACCTGAGCAGGACCCCCAATTTTCAAACCAACACAGCTGCTTTTATAATAGTCACCGTTTCCGGAGAGGTTGCAAAGCTCAGATAATTACCATGAAACAAATAAGACAATATTCTTTGATGAGAAGATTACTTTGAGAATTTGATTGTATAATGAAGCTGTTGCTTTGAAAGGTACTTTCTATTGTTCGCAATCTGAAACTCTCCAGTAAAAAGTGTCGCTTGTTTTGACAGCCGACTTAAAAAATTCTCTGTTTATTACATTAACTGCAGCATTTTAACTGTCAAACTATGAAAGAATGTTCTATAGTTTAAAAAACAGAATAGAGCTTCAGGGAAATTTTTGACAGGCTCTTGTTGCTATTGGTATTTGAAAAAAACACACATACATTGTGAATCTGAAATTAGCTTTTTGTGAAGCTGCAAACATAGCTCCCTGCTATCTCACAGTGCCTGCTATCACAGGTGAAGACCTGTAGTCGGTTCTTGGGAAAATATTTTAGGTCTAACACAGCTCTAACTTGCAAGCTCTTCAATCCTTCAGTATGAGAATGACATCCTGAAACTGTTTTTTTTTCCTTTCTATTTTTTAGTTTGTGTTTAATATGTTTAGCTGTAGCATGAATGATGGTAGGACCTAATTAAACATGGCAATATAGTATAAAGCCAAACACTAATGACAGAAGTCTGTCTATAAGGTGAAAATATGCCTTAGATTTAGTATTTAACTTAGGAGGTGATACTGTAATATATATTCTCTTTTGGACAGTGTTTTACTCCAATTTGCAGTATGTTAGCAGCATGGCTCTTCAAACAATAAATCTGTGCTACAGATTTCTTCTTCGTATTCATAAGTACATGAGTACACATGTGATCACTAATAAACTTTCTGTGTCCTGGGGACTTTACATTGGCTCACACTTTTAAAAATATGGTGGGTATGCATCATGTTATAGAAAGGAAAATAAAAGTATACTGTACAAGGAAAATAGAAGAGGACACAATATATAGCAAAGTAAATGTTGCTGTTATTGCTAACAACCATTTGTATAGCACCATGAATGTACTCTCTTACCCTGAGAAAATTTAATTCTAATGCCAAATTCAGCCTTGTTTTAAGTGGACACAACTATAGTGATTTTTTTCCTCAAAGGCCATATTCTGATTCTATATAAGCCAATGGGATTTTTCACCATTAACTTCTATGAAATCAATCAAGAATTAGCACTGAGATAAAATTCAGATGTCTTTCTGCATTTCCTCTTACTGAGGTTTGCATGATAATACAAGATAAATATGTGATAAAATGGAATTTAAGGGAATTGTCCAGGAGCCCTGAATCAAGAAGACAGATTTAGATGGCCTTCTTCCATATGGTGAGAGAACACAGACACACACCCACATATATATTAGTGACAGCTAAAAGTAGCCCATTGTTCTGCTTTCACTGTGAGGTCATAGCACGGAAAGATACGATATTTAGAATCATGAGGGAAAAGATATGAACCTTTATGAAATCTGTGTTCAGTTTTGCTGCCATCGTAATGTGTTTATATGTTTATGTATGTGTAAAATAAAGTTAAAAACAACAAGAAGTCTGGTGGCATCTTAAAAACAGATTTATTTGGGCATAAGCTTTCATTGCATCTGAAGAAGTGGGTTTTTTACCCACGAAAGCTTATGTCCAAATAAATCTGTTAAATATTTGGCCCTCAGCTAGTCCCATCCCAGTTTTTATCATCTCAAAGTTTGGGAAGTGTAATAAAAATGGTAAGTGATCTTTCCAGCACATACATGGTTTCTTGATGGTTAAGTAAATTCTGTATTTTTATCCACATTCTAGTAAAGAGAAGCTCAGTGTCTCTGACCTTGATAAATTCCCCAAACAGTGAACAGAATTTATTGATCGCTTAATATCACCTGAGGTCTCCCATTCATTAATGAGTAGTCTGGTTCTCCATCTATCCCCATTTATTATCCTGTATATAACCAAGCATTGCTGCTAGAATGTGTCCCCTGCAGAAACTAGGTCTTTACACAGCAGGATCCTACAAATCTATATCAGTGGGGCACCACATGGGTTTAACTGAAGCAGTGATACCTAATATCTCTCCATGTGACATCTGGAGAAGCAGAAATAAAGACTGGGTACATCCACTATAGATTTCCACTCCTCCCCATGTCATGTGTGATACTCTTAGTAATGCTAAAGGGAGACAAATGAACACGTTGACAGAAGAATATATCCGTTTCTCAGATTAGATCTCATGCAATTGGACATAATCCTTATTTTTTAATTGATGTACTGTATATCTTTTCCCGTTTATCCAGACGTGCTGCTTTGTACACATCAAATGTGATTAATGCTATTGCTTACTTAAATAATATATCGGTTTTAACTATTAAAGCCTTACCTCATGTTGTCTTATTATGGCAGATGAATACACAGTGAAAGACACTATGTACTAGCTTAGGATAAAGAGCTTGTTTTACTGAATAGGGCACACGGAGCTGAGTTATACTCTCACTTATACTGGTGCATCCCCACTGAACCCAGTGGGGGCTTCACCCTTGTACTTGAGAGCAAAATTTTGACCAGCAACAGGAGGGTGAACATTTTATGAATCACTAAAAGGCAGAGCAGTACCAAATCAATTTCTGTTATTCCCTGTACAATTTATTCTGTTCTGTGTAAGAAAAGCATAATTCCATCCATGCTACCTTTATGCTAAGGTGTCCTTACATGCCATTGGTAAATGTAGAACAAATGAAAAATTTAGCTTGCCTGGCAGACAAGAGAGGTTGATTTATCTTATATTTCGTGTGATCTCTTCACTACTACTTTTAACCAGTAGAAGTTTCCAACCAATTCCTTTTTAGTGAAAAGATTGCTAGGTGCTTCAACAAATCTCTCCCTCCCCTCTCTCATAAATGATTTAGTTATTCTGTTGTTCTAACAGGTGATTAGACAGAGAACTTAGAGCAATATATTAATTTTTAATGTGATTCTCTGACCCTCTAGATACTGGCATCTCCTGTTGTACTGAATATTTTTTGGAAACGTTTCTTTCAAAAAGCACCATTGTTACATATCTTAGAGGGCTGTTCAAAGATTCAACTCTATTGTTAACACTTTAGATGTCATATGTAGCAGAAAGCTAGAGTTAAGGACCCTGCACTAAACTGTTTTCAATACTGATGTGGAAAACTTCTCTGCGGCTCCTGCCATCTGGACCAGGCTTTCTGTATCGCTCTTCCTGCCTCCATTTTTCAAACCTAATCTTAAAACCTTGCTTTCCTCCCCTGCTTATACCTTCTGATTGCTCCCTCCCTCTGATGTTGGCCCTATGATTGAATAATTTATTTGCCATGAAATGTATTTGTATCACTGCTTTCTGTGATTTATACCATATACTGTCTGGAATTGGTGCTCTAAAGTAGTGATTCTACTTATAAGGGGAACGTATAACCTTTGGGGTACACTGAGGTCTTCCATCTAGATCAGTGTTTCTCAACGTGGGGTTCTGACCCCCAGGGGTGGTGGTCATGGGATAGGTTTAAGGGGGTCGCAAATGCAGGGCCAGTGTTAGGGGGTAGCTAGCAGGGCAATTGCCTGGGTCCCTGCACCACAGGGGGTCCCTTGAAGCTAAGTTACAAGCTTCAGCCCCGGGTGATGGAGCTCAGGCTTCAGACAGGCTGACAAGTGAAAAACAGGCTCAAGTATCACACTGAAATATAAGTACAATGTATTCCAATCGAATTATTTTATAATTCTATGGTAAAAATGAGAAAGTCAGCAATATCTCAGCCATAGTGTGCTGTAACATTTTGGAAATTTTATGTCTGATTTTGTAAGCAAGTAGTTTTTAAATGAGGTGAAACTTGGGGTACGCAGGACAAATCAGACTCCTGATAGGAGTACAGTAGTCTGGAAAGGTTGAGAACCACTGCTCCAAAGTGTTTGTGAAACATTTTTTGTGCCATATTTGTCTGTGGTATAACTCCATTGGCCTGAATGGAGTTACATCACAGAGGAATTTGGTCCTGTACAAAATAAGGTTGTGGTGCACATTTAAAATTAAGAGGTTCTGGTGAGGGGAAATGAGTTGGAATATACTGAGAGGTTCCTACAGCCCTTAATCATAGTCAATTTAATGTATCCTTTAGGTGTGGAGTTCCTCAAAGGTAACCTCTCTAGCATACATCAGTCCTGAGCTCTTCAGTGTTAGTTGTTAATGTCCCCAAAATTATCCCAATTACATGTGCTTTCCAGAAACTCAAAATACCCCAATCAGTGTGAAGACTCTCTTTCACTATTGCACTGCAGGGGGATTGTTTTCTCATCGAATATCCTCCCATTAATATTAATGGGAGCTTCCTGCATAAATTGTCCAAAATAGAGTCTAGTGGAGGTAGTAAATAAACGAGGTCCTTATCAACATACAAAACTAAAGAATAGTGCTGTGAGCTAACTCTATTTGGGAGTCTTTTCATTGCTATGAACATACATAACCAAACTCTTGATGTGGAGGATGTTAGGGTATAGAACTCACTACTTCAGAACATCTGTCTCAATCTGATTCCCACTTTAAAAAAAAAGGTTAAAAACACTTTTTTTCAAAAGTGATATTAGTCTTCCACTGTATTTTAGGATGTTTTCATTAAAGTTTATTGTTTCACACTTAAATGGTACAAATGCTTTTGCAAAATTCACCTTGAAAAAGCTCATTAGGTTCTTTAGTAAATATTGTTTTGTGTAATTTTTAGAGCTGAAAATTTGCAGAAAATGATTGATGCAGCAAAGACGTGCTTTTTTTTTATTTGTTTGTTCACAAGTTGTCTCTGAGCAACTTACAAAATTTATTCCCTGTTCAAGTCATTTGTCGACTAATTCATAGTCTATGTAGCTATGAGAAGCTTATTGTGAGTGTTCAATATTCACAATTCAAGTTGTGTGGGTTGGTTTTGATTGGACACACAGGTCACATGATATTTTTGTTTACTGACTTGAAAAACATAACACTTAGAATCTGGTTTCTAGTATAAATACTCTCATACACACATTCAAAATTCACTCTAAAATTCACTGATTCCATAAACATACTTCCTAGAAATTAGTTGACTAGAATATTAATGGATAGTGAACACATAAGTGGAGCAAAAACCGCCAAGGAAATTCCTTTTATTCCTTTTTTCCCCCCAAGTGTATATTCACAGAACAGTTTTAAGGTTCTCTTCCATTTCTAATTAGCCACACAAATTGAAGGATGACTTTCAAATGTACAGCATACATAATGTTCTTCTTTCCCTGTTAGTTACATTTTGTTTCCCAACAAGAAACACTTTAAATAATTATGTTAGAGTTTATTATGGTATAAAGATTATCCAGGGCAAATTTATTTTTATAGTTAAGAAATGTCAAGGCACTTAACTGACCCCTTGAGCTCATTCTGCAAACATTACTTATTAGGAGTTTGTTTTGGGGTTGTTTTTTTGTATTTTGTTGTTTTTGTCTTTTCTTTGTAGACCTGGCCAGAGAACTGTAGATGATCTAGAAATTATATATGAAGAACTTCTTCACATTAAGGCCTTATCTCATCTTTCTACCACAGTAAGTGTTTTGGTTGGTTTTTTTTATATATAACTCATTGACAAAAAAGGGCTGAATAGTGGTTGGCCCTTTGTGGGTGCACAAGGAGTGGAGGTTGAGGTCCCAGGACTCTTTCCATCCCATGCCAAGAAGCTACCAATTGTTGGGGCATTGAGCACAGGCACTGTGTGTTGCCAGTGCCACTTCTAGGTCTGGAAGTGGACTTTTGGCTGAGTCAGCTAAAATTCTTTTGGGGACTTCTGTTTCTGCATAGTCCTTCCTCATCTCCCTTATTTGTGACCAATGGCTTAAAGCCACAGTCTGGCCCCAAATCCATATGTAATTTAATACATGTTGATCCTGACCCCGCTCCCAGTTAAGTCAATGGGCGCAGAATGGTGCCCGTTGGCATACTGTTACATTTAGCACCAAAAATGCAGTACACAGAAAAACTATAATTCTTCTCTCTTTATTTTAAGGTAAAGCGAGAATTAGCAGGTGTTCTAATCTTTGAGTCACATCCCAAAGCAGGAACTGTTTGTAAGTAAAAGGGATCCAACCATACCTTTTTTTCTCATGTGTGATATTAGATGACTATTTAAATTATTATGCAAAACTTGAATATTCCAAAGCTGGCTGTTCAGAACGTGCGAGTGGCCAGTTGCAAAATGTCTCTGGACTGCTATTTGGACTTCTGAGCCCACTAATGAAACGCTAATGAAAATGTTATTCTCATGGTATTCAGAAGCCCAGCTTTGTGTATAAAAATATTTAAAATAGGATTGTTTTGAACTTTTTATATGGAGAAGCACTGGAAAATTAATGTCAGGTTCTCAGCACTTTAAAGATTAGTGTTATATCACTCAGCACCCTGTAAGATCCAAATCTATGTATCAGTTAGCAATTGATAACATAAAGTTCATAAAGACGCCTATAGAGCAAGGAGAAATTACAACTGCTTTTAGTGTTGTCTTAGAAAAAAAGAGGGCTTCATACAAATATTATAAAATGATTAGTATTCGCTTTTTCATCTCAAATCAAAAGAAAATTGCTTTTAAATCCAAATGTGACCTTTTTCAAGATGGTAATACCCACTAAAATGACTTCAGTATAGTTATTTTATATTGGTGTAACTGATGGAAGAATTTGGCCCACTTATGCTAAAAGGCACCTATATTCTCAGCATAAAATCTTTTCTCTTTTTTGTAGTATTCAATCAGGGAGAAGAAGGTACTTCCTGGTACATTATCCTAAAGGGATCGGTAAATGTAGTCATTTATGGCAAGGTATTTTTGAAGACCTTTTATTATTCTTTTTATTAGTGGGACTGTAAGAATAAACTTTACTGGAATACACTTTGACTTACAGCAAGATTATGTTGCTTGGGGTAAAAAGTAGAATACTGTTTTCAGTTTTTAATCAAGAAATGATTCCAAACTGTTTTATTTATTATGCTTTTACGTGGCCGATGAATAATTTCAGGACTATAATTTGTATGTATATGTACAATTTCAAGACTATAGACCCCCGAATATAACTCCGTGCAGTTACATCCACACTTGTACTACAAAATGGTTTAAATCAAACACAAACAATAAAGTATTATGGCATAGCACACCCTCTCCAAGATACTCAGTGACTCCTTAGCTAGATAGATCACACACACATATTTAGCACTTAGCAGTAGTTACTACTTTAATTTCAATAGTAGCTGTCACACCATAATGCTGACATTGTCTTAATATAGCTTTGTTCTCATTCACTGATAGCCAACTACTAAACTGCCCTCTGCCCACATCATGGTTGCCACAGTCCTTTGGGGATGTAAGATCAACTGCTTCTTTCTGAGTTGTTGCTTTAGTCTAGTATTACAAGTATTACCGTTTGTGAGCACGATCACATATGAGCCATCGTATGTTAGCTTAAAATTTAAGCTATCACTTCACAAAGTATAATAATTTGTATACAGGAACCTTAAATACAAAAAAGTCTTGTTCATCTTACCAACCTTTTACCATAATATGGAGATACAATTCTGTATTTCCTTTTATGCCATTTCATGTTTAATTATTTAAGCATGTATAACTAACGTTGAAGAAGCTAGATAGGTATTTTCAGTGTAATTAATGTGTCACCTCTTTTTAGAATATTTTTTAAATGTCCATTGATAAACATTAAAAATGATCCTTTAAGTATGTTTCCATTTTAAATAATATATATATGTATTGTACTTTTTGAATAAATTGACATAGATTGATGTGCGTTCCTCAACCCTCCCCCACAAGGGTACTCCCATTAAGTGGCTTCAAATGGTCTATTCATAGAAGTAAGGATGACTCACACGAGTAAAGATTAGAAAACTGAGCCCTTAGTTTTCCTTCTGATTTAAGGCAAAAATGTCCCTAAAGGAGTGAAGATATCTACTACATAGTCTGCTTTTGTACCAGATACTTTGGAGGAAGGTACAAGAATCCTATGGTGGTCAGATAGGAAATAACCTGCTCATAGAGGAAGTTACTTCCTAATCCCTGACAGTTAGTAGTCAATTTATGACCCAAAGCATAACGGTTTATATCCCTTCTAAGAATTTTTTTATCCTGTCTAATGTAACCGTGTATTCTCTCCTTAACCATATACATGTCAAATCCTTTTAGAATCCTACTGAGCTTTTTGGCCTCAGTGATACACTGTGGCAAAGAGTTCCAGAGATTAATTATAAACTGTGTAAAAGAATATTTCCTTTTCTCAGTTTTAAATATGTTGCCTTTTGATATTATTAAATTCTCCTTCATTCTTTTGAGAAAGGGTATATAGGAGTACCTGATTTTTACCGTCTGTATGCCATTCATTATTTTCTATATCACTGTCATGCCTCTTTGATTTCTCTCCTCTCTAAATTAAACAGTCCTAGTGTCTTTCTTCATATGAAAGCTTTCCACACATATAATCATATTTGTCTTCCATCTTTGGACTCCTTCTACTGGGCAGTTCTAAAGGAATCAAATAAAGTTACTTTTGTAAAAAGGATAACTGGGATGACCTGGGTAACTATTGGCTGGTTAGCCTGAGATTGATCCTGAGCAAAATTCTGGAACAGCAGATATGTGATGCAATCAGTAAAGAATTAAAGGATGATAGCATAACTAATGCCAGTCAGCAGGGTTTTATGGAACATAGGTGGTGTCAAATAAACATGATAGCATTTTTGATTGACAAATGTCACTGATAAAGTATCTTAAATTTCTGCAAGAGAGAAGGTGGGTCCGATATCTTTTATTGGACCAAATTTCTGTTGGTGAAAGAAACAAGCTTTTCAGCCACACAGAGCTTTTCTTCAGGTCTGGGAAAGATACTCACTCAGAGTGTCACAACTGAATACAAGGTGGAATAGATTGTTTAGCATAAGTAGTTAACCGATATTTCAAGGGACCCTTCAAGGTGAAGTGGGGCATTAACACCCATAGTCATCTGAGAAAAAAGACCAGAAAGTATCCTGGATTGCAGTGACACTGAAAAGGATTTTTCTTCTATGACTGGGGAGGTGTTAATGGGTCACTTCACCTTGAATGGTCTCTACGAATATGTATGCAGTGGTGTTGTAGTCATGTTGGTCCCAAGATATTAGAGAGACAAGGCAGGTGAGATAATATCTTTTATTAGACCAACTTCTGTTTGTGAGAGACAAGCTTTTGAGCTCTACAGAGATCTTCTTCAGGTCTGGGAAATATTTCAATGGACCATTCAAGGAGAAATGGCTATTAACAACTCTCCAGTCACAGTGGGGGAAAGGAGAGAAAAAAAAAATATTACCTCACCCATCTTCTCTCTCTTAGAATATGTGTTAGCTACTTATGCTAAACAATCTGTTCCACCTTGTACTTAGTTGTGACACTCTGAGTACTTTCCAGACATGAAGAGCTCTCAGTAAGCTGGAAAGCTTGACTGTTTCACCAACAGAAGTTGGTCCAATAAAAGATATTATCTCACCCACCTTGTCTCTCTAATATCCTGGGACCAACACAGCTGTAGCAATACTTAAATTTCTGCTGGTCATTTGACTGAGTCCCACAGACATCTGATAAAGAAATTAGCACTATACAAAGTCAGTGTAATCCATATTAAATGGATTAAAAGTTGGTTAACTGACAGAAATAAAATAATAATAAATGGAGAATTGGTATCTCTGTATATGGCAATTGTAAGATTATTACTGGAATACTTTTAAAAAAGTTGAAAAATTGGAACAGGTTCAGAAAAGAGCTTCAAAAATGATTTGAGGTCTCAAAAACATGCCTTCTAGTCAGACACTTAAGAAGCTCAGTCTCTTTAATTTATGCAAGAGAAGGTTAAGAGGTGACTTGATCACTTTCTCCAATTACCTCCATGGCAAAGAGTTTTCTGATAGAAGATGGCTCTTTAATCTGGCAGAATTGTGGGGAGGAGGACCTGTTAGTACTCTCCCTAAATTGTTGTTATTTGAGAAAAACATTTTCTTATAGGAAGATGTTTGCGAGACACTGAGGAATCTGGATTCCAATAAACCTACATTTTGAAAAGTTAAGGAGACAAATGACTTTGAAACATTTTAATGTCACCACTTATTTCTTCACACACACAAACTTCCATATAAAATCCTCCACACTGAACTCTAAGCCATGCCTCAGAAAAACTAGTACATCACTAAGTTTCTCTGTAGAAAGTTACAAAAAATTGTACTGTACAGTGGAAAACAGTAGACTTGGCAGGTCTGCATTCACCCAGCACTGAAGAAAGACTTACTAGTCTGTAATTCGCAGGATCATCCCATTACCTTTTAGAAAACTAAGGTACAGCACTGGCTACCTTCCAATTCTCTGGCATTGTAGTTGATTTTAATGAGAGATTGCGTATTTTTATTAGTAGCTGAGCCATTCTGTTCTTATATCCTTCAGAACTCTTGGATGAATACCATTCAGTCCTGGCGAGCTGTCACTCCTCCATTTCATCAGGAGTTTTTGTCCAGGCCTTTACCACCACTTATATTGGCAGATGTCTTTATCTGACCTGAGTGCTCCTCTGTATCTGTCAGTTTTCCTTCAATTCCTACTTTAAATAACCCTCCAAAACTGTCAATTTTTGTGTCAGCAATCTGTTCTCAGTTTAGTTAAGGGAAAGCCCAGAAAGTGTCCCAGTGCCTAATAAATTTCCTCTTTATGAGGGAGATTTTCACCGGTGAATATGGGAGCTCTTAAGTCCTTTTAATGGTAGTTTGGCACCTAACTACACTTTGTGCCTTTGAAAATCTCCCCTGACATTTTCTCATGCTGGACCTGCATGTGGAACTCTAAGCATTTCAGTGACTGCTACCATAGAAGTCCCAGTATTAAGCCTTTTTCTTATTCATCCAGATTTAGCTTCTAGGTCATCTCTCACTCCAGCCTGTGGGCCCAATTTTCAGCCAGTTAAATTGGTGTAGCTCTGAAGTCAATGGAGCTATGCTGATTTACACCAGCTGAAGATCTGGTTCTGTCTCTTTAGTGTCACTAGATAAAATGACCAAGCAACTCTCCAGCACTCTAGATGTCTTGTGAGCTCTGTCACCTATATAGCTAGTAAGTCACTGAACAGTTCTCACAATCATCACATATCCAGTTATTCATGTTTCTAATGATCAAATCCTCTACCACCACAGTCTGTTGACTTATTACAGTGGTGTTCCCACCTCCTGTGAGGACCTCCTTTGAATGATCAGCCTCCTTTACCAAAACTGGAAGATGAAAATTTGTACCTCCATTCCACCTAGATTCTCCTATCATTAGATCAGGACACCCATCATGGGCATGTGTATTATGGAAAAGAGCAGAATAGGTAACAGAGACTGACACTGTTGGAGAGGAGAATTTCTACTCCAAATCTGTTCTTCAGCAAACTAGATCTGTATTTTTCATTGTCTCTTTTTTTAAATCAACAGCTTGCTGTTATCAGCAAGGCCAGAAGAGTCCTTCGCTCTGAGTCTAATTTCAGAGAACAAGCCCATTCTTTTCTATTCTTGCCTTTTTCTAGTAATAGTAATAAGCAGTTATCAAGTATTGTTTCCTAGTCATTATTTTAGCTGTTGATTTCCTGCCAAATACATTTGTTTTAATATTGGATTTTGAAGTCTGGTGTTTGCACATGGCATTTCAATGGGATGAACTATAATGATGATTTTTGTGTATAAATGTTTTGCTGTTTATAGGGTGTGGTATGTACCCTACACGAAGGAGATGATTTTGGCAAGTTAGCGCTAGTGAATGATGCTCCAAGAGCAGCGTCCATTGTTTTACGAGAAGATAACTGCCACTTCTTGAGAGTAGACAAGGAGGACTTTAATAGAATACTTAGGGTAAGTGTTGGGTAAGACATGACACTAACACTGGTCCTCTCATATTTGCCACATCCAGTGGCCTGCTTTCTCACCTTGCAAACATTTTCAGAACCTGTGTCATTAGTATCAATAAATGCAAATCAACCCAAAGCATCATTTGAAATAACTTGTAATTAAAGAAGAGAGATGTAACCTCCTAGAAAAAAAACCAAAAAAATCAAGTAGTACATTAAATAAACTACAGGTAAATACATTGACCCCTGCTCAAAGGATCTGGAAAGATGTACTGGCCCAATTTTTGTGGTTATTAATGTTAGAAGAAAAGTTCAGTTGTGGTCAGGGCTGGCTCCAGGGGAAAAAAAAAAAAGCCGCGATCGCGATCTGCGGCGGCAACTCGGCGGGAGGTCCTTCACTCCCAGGCGGAGTGACGGACCCTCCGCCGAATTGCCGCCGAATACCTGGAACTGCCGCCCCCGTCCGGAACGGCCGCCCCAAGCACCTGCTTGAGAAGCTGGTGCCTGGAGCCGGCCCTGGTTGTGGTGTTTATAATGTGGGCCCAGATGATCTGATTGTGAGTGGTTGGAAACATCCCATAATACCCAAGGCCAGAACCCTTATTACCTTCGATTGGAATGTCTACGTGCCTACTGGAGTGATGACAAAATCAGCTCAGACAGGTGCCACTCAGTGCTGTACTTGAAAAATGTCTTGCTGCTGCTGAGTGGCTCCTGAACTAATAAGTAGTGAGATGCTTTAGGTCTTGGAGACTCTAGTTGAGTTTTATGTAGCTCTTGCTGTCTGCTTTTAGCAGGATTTCAAAGACTGCACTGATGTACTAAAACCTGGGTGCCAGATTACTTTTCATTTGTGTTTAAATGTGCACCAGTTTTGGCTCTGGCTTTGTTTTACTTGTATATAATTGTTTCCACCCTAGACTGTGATTAGCTATAACACTATTGGGCTAGGATTTATAATTCTTCTATAATCCTTCCAAAAGAACAGTATTTAAAAATGAATGGCCAGCAAATGCCAGATTATTGATAATGATGATCATGGAAGGGCAGGGGTTGAAATGACTCTACATTTTAAAGGTGTGGAGAAGGGTTGGTTCTGGCAATCTGCTTTCTTCCCACCACACACCTGTGATCCCCTTCCTGGAGGCTGCTGTGCTAGACTTCCCCATGCCCACCCGGGGAGTCCAGTTGCAGATCCTCTTCACTCTGCCTGCAGGGAGAAAGGGTGCTGAGAGGGAAACCAACACGGGAAGGACCAGCCATAGAGGCTTGGCTCCTCAGCTTTTGTTGAAGTTATTTGAAAGTCATTCATTTTTAAAAAGTAATTAAGCAGCCAAGTCAGGTGCAGTAACTGTATTAAAAATAACTTGTCTTGCAGGATGTTGAAGCAAATACAGTAAGACTCAAAGAACATGACCAAGATGTCTTGGTATTGGAGAAAATCCTAGCAGGAAACAGAGCTTCTAATCAAGGAAACGCACAACCTCAGCACAAGTATGTTTTCATTCAATAGTGCAAATGTCAGACTGTGATTAATCTTTTCATATGGTATTATTATCTAAACAATAGCATATTCTCCCTTTCTGTGGAAAAATTCAGTGTATGTAAGGGTTGTTGGTTTTTTTAGCATCAGCTAATCACATGCCCTGTAGTGCATAATATATCAATTTCCAGCCGCGCACTAGGTCTACAACTTTACACAATAATTCTCTAAAGCTCTAACTGTAAATATTCATTTCATGGATGGCTTTTAAATAGATTGCACATAGGGAATGATGAAACCCCATTAAGCAGCGCAATTGTGTAAAATACATGGGGAAAGTACATTGTTTTGTTACTAAGTACAGATGTTTCTCTGTGGATTTCAGATTCAGGATTCTAATACAAATTTGCTAGGTTCAATTTACACACAGTGTGAAGAATTCAGACAGGAAAGTAACTCCCTGAATAGGCTTGCATTCTTTTCTATAATATTCACCACATTTCCCCTGCCTTCTTACCTAGAGGCAGGAAGCACCGTTCTGAAATGAAGTAAGGATGTCCAGGGGAGTCAAGTTATCAATATTTCAAATGAACGGAACTGCTTGAAAAAAATCCCCAAGATAGGGGCTGTGAAACTTACTGGTTTTCTACACTTGAAAATTGGTCTGAATCCTCCATTGAAATACAATCAGGTTGGATTGTTGGCTCCGTTATTCCAATAGTTTAAATTCCCCAGTACAGAAATAATGACCTCATGCACACACATTTGCATGCACATGCATATTTTGCACACCCATGCATTCACATGTAGATCTGGGCAAATAACTGGCAGTTCTGAAAAAAAAAAAATTGGGTTGAACTAAAACTGAAAACTTTGGGGGAAAAAAAGTGGTGAATTGAAAAAGTTGATAATAGTTTTTTTCTGGTTGAATGATTTAATTTCTGGGCATTTTCAAAATAAAAGCAAAGGAAATAAAGCATGATGTTCACAAAATGGCCAGAAAAGCTGGTGCCTCCCTTTTAACCTTTAGCCCAGTGGTTAGGGCACTCACCTGAGATGTGGGAGACCTGCCTCAGTTCCCCTCTCTCTGCCTTATTTGGAGCAGGGAATTGATCTCGCACATTGCAGGAGAGTGTCCTAACCACTAGGCTGTGGGGTTTTCTCATTCTCTTCTGTTGAGGCTGTTCCACTTTGTGTAAAATACTCGGCTAATCATTGGGCCAGAGAGCGCTTGCATGAGTGATTCTGTAGCCCGCTGGGTAGAGCGTCCACCTGTGATGGGAGAGGCCTATGTCCATGTCCCTGCTTCAATGCATGTTCAGTTATGTTTATACAGTGGAACAGCTTCAAGAGGAGAAATCCCTGTTCTGCATCAGGCAGAGGGGGGCATTGAACCCGGGTCACTTGTTTTCCACGCAAACCACTGAGCTAAAGATTATAAGGGAGGCACCATCACCCTTCTCCTCCAGCCATTTTGTGCCAAAGTCCACTTGTGAATTATAGCCCACAAGTCTTTTTGGATGAAACTATCTGATGAATTTCTGTCAAATTGGCAAATAGTTTCAGGTTAATTGAAACTGCATTTTTCAGCGAACAAATTATTGGTCTGAAAAATTTGACCCAGTTCTGTTCACACATATATGCACTCAAATGCACCAGTCATCTAATGCACACTTATAACAAGAACAACAACAACAACAAAATAGCAAAATACAGCAGGAGATGGCAGTACTTTTCATCCCCTCAAAGTGTTGTCATTTCACAGGAATGTTGTGCAGATTCCTTGGACAATAATGGATGGCCCTTTGCCATCACGTATCCAGTATGGTTAGCATCTCTAACACAGCTAACATTATATATTGAGAAGTACTGAAACTTCTCTTCTGCTCCTCACTTTTACCCAGATAAGGAACTTATTTTCCTCTATTTTGAGGGTTTTTTTATTAGTGAAGATAAGACATAAGGTTAGTGCTAGCATTGCCCATTATTAGTACAATTTTCCTCTGATGTGTGATTATCGCCCATCTGTTATTGCAGTATTTGTATTTATAATTAGATATTTTATCTATAGGGATTTAAATAAAGCATTTCCTTATATTTTTACACACATTTTTCATCTGCTATGTAATCTGTCATCACATCCTATGACTAAGTTATTAGACCCAGGCATTCCCTCTCAGCAAACAGTTTAGTTTTAGGGCCTGTAACAGAGTTAGCACCCGCCTCTCATGCAGGCCCCCTTTTCTTTGGCCAATAGTGCCTGTAAACACTGTTCTTTTTCAGGGGCAGGAGGCACCCACCTCTCATGGATGGCTCCCTTTCTCTCTGTAAGGTGTGAACCTGCTTTCGGGTTTTTTGTTCTTTCAGTGGGGTGCCACCTGCCTCTCGCAAGCATCCCCCAGCATCCCCCTCTGGCCGAGTTGCATACACTATCCCCCACTTCTGGGGTATACAGTCCCAAGTTCTTATCACGGCCCTGGTATGGGGCTGTAGCTCTTAGGCCTCTTCCCAGAGGCACTGCCTTCTTCAGACACCTAGCCGGGGCCCATATTGGTACCTTCAGCTGCGTCCTTCTTAGCAGACCTCCCTGGGTTCAGTCTGCAACCAGACCAGCAGAGCCCATCTCGGTACCCTCCTCTGGTCTGGCCAGGTTTTGTGCTCAGTCCCCTGGGCTCAGCCTGCCCACAGTGACTTTTCGATGGCTCTGCTGCTATACTATCTAGCCAGCAAGGCAGACGGTCTTTAGCAGTCTTCACTGGGCTCTGTTTGGTGAGCTCTCTGCAATGAGCTATCCACGGTACTGCTGTTTGTCTAGCCAGCCAGGCACCCAGTCCTCCCTCATCAAGCTCCACACAGCAACTGAAGCCTCTGCTCTGTTGCTTGCCTTTTATCTGGCCCTTCTGGCCCCTTATTGGTCGCTCCAGCAGCCCCTCTGATTGGCTGCTCTTCTCTAGGCTGCCTAGAGGACTCACTGCTCTATTCTGAGACAGGGTGATTCAGGGCTGCGAGGCCTCCAGCAGGGGGCCTCCAGACCTAGTCCACCCTGCCACAGTGCCAAATTCTTTAGTAGTGTAAATGAGTGAAACTCAGTTGTAGTCAGTGGAACTACACTATTTTACATCAGCAGAATGGCCTCTAGATTTTAGTCCATTTTGCTTTTTGTGACTTGATTGTGACCATATAATTTTGTGCATTTCTAAAATGGTTCAATTAATGTTTTATGCAAACATATTTCAAACACTGGATTTCTTGAAAACTCTTTGCTATGAGTATTACTTCTAGTATCTGGCATTTAACAATTCAAAATGTGAACAGATAAGTCACATGGTATGTTTGTGCTCCCTGGCTAGATGAGGGTAGTTTTCAAAATCAAACTTCCAGGGTGAATACTTTCAATGAAAATTCAAAGTTTGCTTTTCACAAATATTTTATCAATTTGCTTAAATATATTGTTTCTGTGACCACTCCTGCCAGTGAGCAGTCACCGAAAGCAAACACAAAAGGGGCAGAAACTGAGAAAAAGCAAAATGGCTTAAAAATTTCAGCATTCCCAAATAATTTTTTCAGAGTCCAGCTTATTTTACTGACAGTATGTTTGTTAAAGTATTTTTATTTTAAATCTTTTAAACTAATTAGTACTTGTGAGTGTGACCTCTCTAGTTTCTGCTATAAGCTAGTAAATGGAGTGAGAGGCAAACGTTACGTTTCAAAGTCCATATTTAGACACCTAAATAAGTGGCTTGATTTCCAAAATGCTGAGTCTTTGGGAATTACTCAGTGCTTTTGAAAATCAGGCCACTTATTTAGATGCCTAAGTTAGGAATTTAACTGTAAGTATCCACCTTTGAAAGTCTTGGCTAAACCATTCTGTATATCCACAGAAAATATAAAGCAGAGGCCGTGCAACCTTCCCCATACTGCCCCAGCAGGGTTGCTCAGGCCTGAGCTGGAGAGCTCACCTCTCTGGTTGGGAGGGTGTTTCATTCTCCAGGTCTGTTCAAACCTTAGCTTCTCTGCTGAGACTGTCAACAAAGGTACCAATTTTGATGTGGGCACTTTTTCACTAGGAAGTAAAATAAGACCAGCAAGTGACTTTTATGAGATACTAAACTACCTTCAAACTTTTGATCCCTACCAAATTATATAGAGGTGAAACACTATAATGTATTGTTAGTTCCCTGAGCCATCCTGTCAAGAATTATTTTTTCCCTTCTCTTAATCTTAAGAAAAAGGCTTCATTTTGGGACCAGATGCCCTGAACTGCGGTTTGGGTCCATCCCCACCCCCTTGACTGCTGCAGCTCAGTGAGCCACAGTTTCAAAGAATGACAGGCTTGCTACGAAGAGCTAACTCTGAAGTTCTGTCTTCCAACCTCTAACTTCTCTCTTCGTGGGTGATCACACACATGCAGTGTTACTGCCTGACACCTCACAGAGCATTGCTACAGTCACTGTAGGCCACTTCACTGCTTCGTTTTCACTTTCATATTCAAAGTGCAGCAAACTGGGTTCTCTCTGCCTCGCTCACCTACAGACTTGGTTAGTATCTCTACAAGGATGTGCACTGGCTTAACAAGTGTTTGTGTTCTTGGGACATCAATACAGTTCTTCCAAAGGGGCTGGCAGGTAAAAGAACTGTGATGGTCAGTGCTCAAAGTGAGGGGGAGCTCCCAGGAGCTCAGTTCCACCACTTATTTCTCAGCAGGAGCAGAACACCTACACTTCTCCTAGGGTTTCGGGGTTTTTTTAAGTTTCATACTTTTTCACTTCAACGTGGAAAAATGATGCAAAGATTGAAAGAATGAAATGAAAGATAAAGAGAAATCCTATTCACTAGGGAAGAAGGAAAGAGGACAGTTAATCAGTGCAGCTCTATTCTGTAATATCCTCTGCTATAGTGCTGGTACATAAATCTTGCCAATGTTCCCTGCAATACATATGATAACCTCACTATATGCAATATACCCTCGTGCTGTACCTCTCTAGATTTACTGTTAGAAATGGTGTAAGTACTGAAGTTAAGCAGATACTTATTTACTGCAGTTACCTAAGGCAATTGGCAAATTTTGAAGTTCCACTACTATACGTTACTGTCTACCACCATGTCCTTTCCCCCAGCTCAGACCTGCAGTACTGCAGGCATTCATTTACTTTCATTGTTTTCCCTTTGAGCACTGATGATGATAAATAGTGGTGCCCGTCTCATCCTAAGAGTTAATCTCTTTAAATCCATCCAAAGCCTACATTTTCAGAAATTTTGCTGATATTTTTTTCCTTAATAATTCTTAGCACTGACAGCGTTTTTCATGTTTTCCATTTCTCTGCTCCAGTTTTACACCAGTGCAACTCCACTGAAATCAATGGTGTAAAACTGGGTATCGCAGTGGAGAATGGGCCCTTTGTCAACTTAGTCCTCATGGTAAGAAGGTAAGTATTATTGTTCGCATTTTACAAATGGGGAACCTGAAGCAAAGAGGTTGAGTAATTTTTCCCCTGGGCCACACAGAGTCCATGTCAGAGCAGGTATTTGCACTCTCGGGTTGTTCTTGACTTCCATTCCTGTGCTCAGAAGTCTTAGGTTCCACTTCTCTCTAGTACCAATTATTTCTTCAGTTGACATTTTCATTGTGCCTTTAGAAAATTAATTGCTTCTTTTCTCTTCCACAGGTATACTGTGATGTCAGGAACTCCAGAGAAAATTTTAGAGCACTTTCTAGAAACTATGCGCCTTGAATCAACTTTAAATGAAGCGACAGGTAGAATTATGTGACAAAGGCTGTATTTCTATTCATAAATAAGATAGGCTCTCGAGATGTAAGTGAAAACGTCATGCTTGGGAATGCAGCCTTTAATTATCTGCAGAAATTAATCTAATCAATATTTAGATACAAATTTTAAAAAGCTAGGAAATTCAAAATTTAAGGTGATAATCCACCATCCTTATCTTGCCCCATTGTATTTAGGGTTTGGAGCGTCTATTGATAGCAAAGCAGCAAAGTCTCACAAGATGTTGTAACACCGGCAATTGCTTTTATTGGTCACAGCTATGATGATAAATGGAGACATGCAATAACCCAGTTACATTGCCACCACATAATGTACTTGTCATGATGCATGCCACATAATACATAATGCACTAACCTTGATCCCTCCTGCGTCACTTCACATTTCTTTAGTATACTTTTCCAATGGACTCTTATTCCAACAGAAGGAATTCAGCACATCAAAGGTAAATTGCTGCAGCTTCATTGAAGCCTATGGAGCTGCAGCAGTTTACACCAGCACAGCCGTCAGATCCGAGAACGTGTCTCTTCTGTCTTATTCCTTGTAGGTCTTTTCATTAAAGAAAAGTCAAGAAAAAAGGATTTCTCATAATAGTAGTAGTTGTAAACTGGCACAGACAATTTATATTATGTTACTGTACATCAACTAGGACACCCCTTCAGTAAGCATGTTTTTGACCTTACAGATGGTTAGGAAGCATGAGTGTAAAAACATTCTTAAATAATCCATAGATTAGTAGTGATGCAATCAGTACATCAGCCCATGTGCTGAAAGACTGCATGATGACTTTTAACTTCTCTGTTTTAATTGCTTCTGTGAATAAAATAAGCTTCCTATACAGTTGCATAGTCATCTAGCAGCAGACGCAGGGCATAGGGACTTCATGTCTGCAAACATTTGATGGCAAGTTTACCATCCCTATCCTTTAACTTTCTAAATAGTCTTAAACTTTTAAATTGTTTCAAAACATTTCTTTTCCAAAATGTCCAATAGCAAAATTCCATATTTCAGTCTGATGGCCTGCAAAACATCAGATTTCACAAACAAACAAAGCTGTTCTGAAGTGGTAGGGGCACAAACTTCTGAAACCACTGATTTTTCATTTGCGCATTCTCGTAAATTAAAAACAATGAAACCAGTTTGTTTTGTGAATTATACAAAGAAAAAATACTCTGGCTGAGGTCCATAGGACTTTATATACTTCCAGCAGAGAGACAGTTCCAGATGCTGAATTATATAAAGAGTGGAAGCGATGATACAGTATGGATGGCACAGCTGTCACACTATGTTTTCCCTCATATCCCTCCATTACAAGACTTAAATTGTTATTACACTAAAAAGTGGCTCTATAAAAATGGCTCCCTGGGGTAATGGGTTTATTGTGTTTCACTGATTCCATATAAAATTTGCTTAGTTTACAATTAAAACAAACTGCCGACCCTCAAACTTATGTCAGGCTCTAAAAGCCATTCCAGATCGTCCTCCTTATACATCATCACAAGTACAAGGGGTAAAAGACGCCCTCATTTACACCAGTGCAACCCCACTAACAGCTCATTTGGAGGGAAGAGGTAGCTCTTCAGTTGCCATAATGTAGTGAATGGTATAGTAGACCTTCATTTCTTTCCAACCTAAAAATGTTTTATTTGTATTATTAATCTCATTATAAATCTGTTTTCTATGTTTAATTCAAATGTCATAATTGTGAATTGATTTGAATCAAAATATACATTAGATCTTTGACTATCAATCTACTTATTTCTGGTCTTTTGCTGATTGCCAGCTGGAGTCAGCAAGGAATTCTTCCCCATCTTAATATACTATTTGGAATTGTTATGCTGATACACCCTGTTGACAGGTGCTTCCTAGGTACTGAGATGTACAGTGCCTGATTCTCATTACACAGAAGATCTTAGTGTATATGAGAATTATGCCCACATATTTCACTGTTGTGTAGAAGTATTGTGATGCATGGGATGCCTTCTTCTGAAGTATTTAGTATAAGCCCATTGAAGTCAAATGGCTATAAATGTATGCTTAAAGTAAGGCACATGCTAACATACCTTGCTGAATCAGAGCCTTAGTGCAGTATTTCATGGCAAGGATTCATTTGATGCAGACTGAGTACATCTACTGAAGCCAGGTACCTGTCAAATCTAGAAGCATAACCACAGCAGAATCCATTCCAAGAAAGCAAACAAATCAATATTTCATGATAAATACATAGATTCTCTGTACTCAAGTTTAATACTGTAGCCAAAAAATGACCTCTTCACAGTCTTCAGGAAGCTAATGAGATCTTTAACTGAAAGAAGCATCATTATTATGAACCCTGAGTTGTTTCAAGAGCTTAACTTTCTGCTTTATTTGTTTTTCTTTTCACAGATTCTGTTTTAAATGATTTTGTTATGATGCACTGTGTTTTTATGCCAAATAGTCAGCTTTGTCCAGCCTTGATGGCACAATATCCTTTTTTGATTAAAATTTTACATTCCTTTTAAGACTATTCCTATTAGAAAAGAGACAGACACATTCTGAAAAACTCCTAGCTCTCCAAAGACAAGTAAAGTTTAATGGAGCCTCACTTTTATGGCCAAGCTCCCAGTGTGTGAATGACAGAATACTCATAATTAGGCTTGGAAGGATTAGATTTTTATTGGTAAATGTTGGCAATGTAGATTGTACTGTACACACACAAACCGACAAAAAATATTTCCATCGATAGTAATCAAAATTGACAGATAGACAAAGTAAGAAAAATGCTGCTTACGACTGTAAGAGTTTGATTTAAGGATATTTACTTTGTAGGTTTAGACATGTGATGTTGATAATTTGTGTTTTAATGGCTATAAAGCTTTAAGTTTTTGAATCTCAACATCTGCAGTCATTAAATAATTGTCTGCCCCCTCACCATTGCCTGACACATGCCCCATCATTTCTTGCAACTGTGACAATTTAAATAGACAAAAAAATTAAAAATGCTTAAAACCCATAATTTTCTCAAATGTGAAAATTTAAATTGATAAAAATAAATGCTCAAAATAAACATTAATATTATCTGTCAAAATTATTTAATTTTTTTTTTGCCAAGCCTACTCATAACTCACAGTTTTGTGTGTTTAAGCTGCCAGCAAGTGGTATATGTGAGGGTCCCCCCTGGGGTGCAACCTGGAACTGGGGTACCACTGAGCCCTCTGACTCACCAGCCTGGGTTCATGCTCACACTGTGATAAGCTACAATCCTCTCCAGGACTTGCACTCACACAGACAAGTACACACCCAGCTGCAGTTTATAGAATCATAGAATATCAGGGTTGGAAGGGACCTCAGGAGGTCATTAGTCCAACCCCCCGTTCAAAGCAGGACCAATCCCCAGACAGATTTTTGCCCCAGATCCCTAAATGGCCCCCTCAAGGTTTGAGTTCACAACCCTGAGTTTAACAGGCCAATGCTCAAACCACCGAGCTATCCCTCCCCCAGTTATGTGAGTGCTTTTCCTCAACCACTCATGAACTAACAATAGAGAGGCTATAGCCAGCACCCCCACCCCAGCTCCAGAGCTAGGACCCCAGAGCTGTACCGGCTTGCCCTGGTCAAAAGCCTAATCAGTAAAGATTATTACCTAGTCCGCCCCTCCCTTGATGTGGGGAGGACAATGCACCAGCCCTGGTTCCTGAGCAGATTTCCCTTTTCAATTCAAAGACCTCACTGTTTTAGGTAAAAAATATAAAACGAATGTATTAACTACAGAAAGATAGATTTTAAGTGTTTATAAGCAATAACATACAGATCAAAGGAAATAAACAAAAACACAATCTAAGTTCTCTAAACTGGATAGGATTTGAACCAAGCCGTGTCTCACCCTGTTAGATAGTACAAACAGTCCACCAAGCTTCCATACACAGGCACGTTTCCTTGTTTCCCGCCTGGGACCCCCCTTCCTCAGTTCAGTCTTTATTCCTAAGGTGATTCCAGGTGTTGTGTTGTAGGGAGTGAGGCCCAGTGGTGACATCACTTCTCCCTTTTATAGTTTCTTCCATGTGGAGGGAACTTCACACACACAGTTTGTGGAAAAATACAGGCACTAAAATGGAATCCAATATCACCTGATCTAGTCACATGCCCTTGCATGCTTTGATGAGTCATGGTAACTATTATCCATATGCTGACTGAAGTGTCCACAGGTGAGGATAAGCTTTTCCCATGTTCCATTGTTTTCATTGATGGCCCATTACCTTGAATATTTCCTTCAGAATGTGCTGGCTAGACTGGATGTAAACTGCCCTGTGGGAATTATCCAGAAGCAAACACATTTGAAATACAGATGCATAGTCAATATTCATAACTCCAGATACAAAAATGATACATGCATACAAATAGGATAATCATATTCAGCAAACCATAACTTTTCCATTGACACTTTACATGACATATGTTGTACAAGATGCATCATAATTATATTATAACCATATCATAATCATATCATTATAGTGAATATGGGGCACAGAGTGCCACAATACATACTCATACTATGGTGAAATAAAGAGTCTGAAAACTCCTTCTTTCCTGCTAGAGATTTCCTATCCTGCAGGCTGAATTCCACTGAGTGGAATTACGTGCCTATAAGTTAAAACAATCCCTTCTGGCATGATAGCTGAAGTCTTAAGGCACCTGGAGTAAATGAAAGTCAGTGGTTGCTTCAGCCAGCAGTTCGTTTTTTGTGCAAAATGAAAGCAGAATAATTAAAACATCAGAACAAAAGTATCCCCAGGGAAGGTGAGTAGGTGAGTGGTTGCTGTTAAAATTGTCAGCATTGTCCATGTTACCACACAGTGGTATCTGTAATGCCATTTTTCTCCATACATGGAATAGGAAATAGCTGTGGTTGTATGTTAACTGTAGACAAATGTTGATTGTTTTAATGGCAATCACTGTTATAATTATTTTATTCTAAGAATATGAATTACAAGTAGCTGAGTTTATCTGACTGTATTTTCAGAAGGTGCCAGAAGTTCTTGCCAGAACATTGCTTTTTCAGTTAAATTTAATGACGCTAAACAATGAAGAAGAGCAGAAACACATTTCATGAGTATTTGTATTCTGTACTTCCTCTGTGACAAGTGTGGACATTTTTCATGTAATTCTGGTCTTCTGTTTTTTTCACTTTACTTCACTTTTCCAAATGACTCCGTTACTAACAATTCAGATAACTACAGCATGTGGGGACGAATGGGGTAGTTTAGATTCAAGTTGGTTGCTGCCACTCTTTCACTGGTTCTGTGCCTTTGGGGTTGGCTTCTGTGACAGTTTCAGCTCCTGAATATGCAGTCTATTAAATGAATAAGCAGCATTTCTTTAATTGCCTTCATTCTTCTTTTGGCAGGAAAGAGCCAGATAACTTTTAAATTGAGTTTTAACGCTTTCTTTTAACTTAGAACATTTTATGAGTTTATTAAAACTTTTCTTAGAGTTTGACAGGAAATGAAATTCTGTTTTCCAAAATTCCAAACACTCCTGGAAATTCATATAAGAGCTTTCAGTTCTCAAAACAGTCTTTCAAAATTACATAACTCCTGGAAATTCATTAGCCTAAGTTGTTGACTCTACATGGCAATTTTTGGAATGATAATTTTCTTGTCTTCCTGCACTGAGTGAGGATTTGATTGCGCACTGCCAGTAATTCATTAATTAATTCCCCATTAATGTAAATATTCTATGGTTAAATGGCTTCTTACATTAGTAATTAGTCTGGCATCAAATGACCTTACTATATTAGTAGATAAAACATCTTACTATTCCTATAACAATGATATCAGGCAGCTATTATGAAGACTTGCATTTACAAAATACAAAATCTTCAGGAAAACAAATAGCTTTTAGAAGTTTTATGTTGGGCTCACTCATGTTTGTTTCTCTCTCTTAATTTCTCAACTCTCTCTTCTCATAAACTCACACAAAATTTTCCATCCAGAATGTGATCATGATGCAGTGATCTTGTTTCGAATATTACATCAGTGTCAACAGCGTCACTGACTTCCACACCTGAAGCACTTTACCTGCTTTACCAACAACTTAGTGACATAGATTTCAGCAGATTGTTTTGAGTTTGCTCTTCAATGCACAGATAAATTGTTGTGAACCCACAAGCCTAGAGGGGGGTGTTTTTGATTTCACCTGATTCTGAACCTCCAATGAAAACTGTAAAGTACCTGTAATCATCTGATCAAAAATGTGTCTCATATAAACACAACAACAGTTTAACCATTAGACCTTCATACTTACATTGTGCAGCTACAGAAAATACATTGTATGTTTTGTTAATTTCATTTACCATCATACCAACAAGAATTTATACTCCATCACAGTGATGCACATTGGCTTTAAACAATTATTAGTTATTAATGGAGTGAAATTTTGATTTCATGGATGGAAGAACAGACTCAAAACTTGCTTCTGCTTCCTAGCAAAGATATCTTATGCCAACATAACTAAGATCTAAGTACAAAGCTGTAACCAGGTTGGTGTCGATTCATGTTTCACAATTAACTGCATATCTGACACTTTCTTATTGCGAAAATAAATAATATTGTGTTTCTGATTGCAAACCGTAACACATCTGCAACATGTAGAATTAGGAGGTTTTCACTAACTTGCACCATGATAACATTAATAAAGGAGCCATTATGAGCCAAATTAAAAATAAGCAAATGAGCAGTAAAAATTACTGGTGCCTGTGGTGAGTCAGTTAATAAGTAGGTAAAAATATATGAAATAATAAGTGTTTGAAAGGTAGAAACTGCATGAGGAAAATGACTCAGTGGAATGTTAAATTTGCTGCTTGAAATGTTAGAGAGCATAGTCTGCAATATATTATTTACTTCCTATGATCCTCGGACTTACGCACTCTCATAAATAGGCTGACATGTTGTTTCCCTAGTCACGTTAAATCCGTTCTAAACTAAATTAGAATGCAGATCTCTGTTCATACTCAAAAGCTTAGCAGTCATATAACTGTCCCAGTAATCCTAGTGAAATGCCTAATCTCTATGGGTATTTTTGGTCAGAGGGATATTAGAAAATTCCTTGTTCATAAGCCCATCCTTTTTCCAATTAATGCTTTATTCATGTAATGCTTTAATGTGGAAAAAAACAAGAGCCCTTGGTGTCATTTTCTAATGAAAAGATTGAAATATAGATCTTACAGATGATTTTGATTTCTAACGAAGAGTTTGAAGTCTCCTGGGTGAGCTCTTGAAAGTGTCCTGAATGAACCCCAGTCTTTGATTTGATTGAAACAATGGAAATAAATGAATTCTTAAAGTTCACTATGTCCAGATTCATATCAAAGCTATCATATGTAGGAGAGGCCATGGCTAAAAATTCTTCCATGGAAGGCAACTCCAAGTTACCACCACAATCATTCTCTCCCTAATTCTCACACAAACCTCAGTGTATTGGGAGCAATTTTTCCTCCCACAATTTATACTATTAACCTAAAATCAACGAGAGGCAAGGCAAGTGCATGAAGGGTCTGATCCTGCTTCCACTGAAGGCAATGATGAAATTCCTATTCAGTTCAACAAGAGCAGGATCTAAGAGGGCCAGGTGTCCAGTTTTCGACCAGAAAGTCTAGTTGAAAAGGGGAGCTGACTGTCCAGTCAGATCTACTGAGCAGACTCCCAAAGTCCGGTTACTGCGGGTGGGAGAGGTGGGGAGGCGCCACGTCATCACCCATGCCACTGCCAGCCCCTACTCAGCCAGGGCCACCTCTTACCTGCATTGGGTGGATGCAGCTCCTAGCCCCGGCTCTGCAGGTGAGTCTCTCCTGACTCACGAGTGGGGGGGGGAGGGGAAAAGCAGTGAGCGATGGAGGGAGAGAGAAAGAGGAGTGAACGGGGGCGGGGCCTCTGGGGGAAGGGGCAGAGCAGGAGCAGGGCCTTGGGGGAAGAGGTGGGGCATGGGTGAGGCCTAGGAGAAAGGTGTGGGGCAGGGGAGGGGAGGTTCCAGCACTTGCTGGAGTGTCCAGTTTTTAAATATTACGAAGTTGGGAACCCTAGCAGGATCAGACTTGAATTAATGTCAGCATAAGGCCTATAATGGGGCATACAGGCAATTTAAGATTTATGAGGCCAGTATTACCCCATGCCAGGTTTTCAATAAAGGACATTTGGGACAGGAAATAAGGTCACTGAGGGAGAAGTCTTGGGAAAGCCATGTGGGCTGCTGATACCTTTGGTTTTAGTGCCCAGGGTGGATTTGTATAATCAGAGGTGGGCTGGAACTTCCCTCTCCCTTCAGTGGTGAGAGATCAAGTTGGTTCTTGGTGGGTCCTGCCTGTCTGTCTGTCTGTCAGAACCGGGAGAGCACTACAGGCTTGGAAGTGTAATCCCTAGGGCAGGGTAGTAGTGCAAGCATGGGGGAAGACCTGCTGGGATATAAGGAGACTGTATAAACCCTGCCTTTCCTAGAGGTATTTGTTAGTCTCTAAGGTGCCACAAGTACTCCTGTTCTTTTTGCGGATACAGACTAACACGGCTGCTACTCTGAAACCTTTCCTAGAGGTAATAGACCAGGAGGCAGGCAAGCTGTACTGATGGTCTCCCCCGTAAGTTACGGACAAGTAGACCTCTCTGTATTTATTATGTGTGAATTTTGTTTTGCTTTGTAGTGATTCTGAGACAGACTCTTCCAATGAGATTCGGTGAGACCATGTAGACATCTTCACTGCCCCCCCCCCTTTTTTTTTCCTTTTTGCAAATTGAAATAAAGCTTCCCTGGCCCCAAACTTCCAATCCCAAAAGGGAGTGTTTTCTGTTTACAATTCCATGGACGTGCTTTCTAGTTATTTATTTATGTATAAGGCCCCTTATGTGGCTAAGCAGCCTGAGCTTAAGCACAAGCTGAATGAAGCCTTTAAATAACACTCAGGCCAGTTGAATTTACAGAGTACACAAATTATATACCATTACGTGCTGCACTTTACATTTGCGTTATTTGATCTAATCCTGCATGATATGATTCAATACAATATTTAAAGAAAATGTTTTCCTAAACCTAGTCTCAATGGGCCCAATTCTCCCCAGCGGATATCTGCTCATTACAGTGGAGGTACACCAGAGGTGCATTTGGCTTAATGTTACTAAAATAAAATCTTGATTCAATAAATCTCTTGAACCTTCCTCCCTCTGGTTGGGGAGAGGGTCCACAGGCCAATCCCCGCTCTCTAGTCTGCTCCCCATAAATGTATAGAGGCATCAGTGCAGTCTTTTATACAAGCCCAGTGCTCTTTAGATTACAGTTGTAGGTACAGGAGCGAGCACCTGACAGGTGTGCTGTCCTTTGTGATACTTACAAGATATGTGAACGCAGAAACTATGCTTTGGTGCAGTTTGTTTATATCTTTATCTTTTTCTACATTTTTTTTCCTTTTCAAAAAAAGTTTTTGCATCTAATTTCCATGTTTTTGCAATTAAAAAGTTAAAAAAGTAAAGCCACCATTTGTTAAATATGTAGCTTTATATTTTATTGTTTATGTTGTTAAATGCATGTCACAAAGTGCTGTGCACAGGATATGATACGCGGCTAACTTATGTGACAGAGTCAAGACTTCCTGAATGACTGTAGCCAAATCAGTTAATTCCTCTATGCCTCAGTTCCTCATCTATAAAACGGGCATATTTCCTTTCTTCTACCCTTTGTCTGTTTTGACTGTAAACTCTTCAGGGAAAGGACTATCTTTCAACAGATGTATGTATAGCATCTAGCACAAGGGGACCCAACTCAGTTGGGATTCCTGGGAATACTGTAATAAAATTAGAAATAGGAGTAATAATGCCAAAGATTTACTACATGTAAACAGGTGGTAAAATCTCTTGCAGATAGAAGCTGAAATAATTTGTAACCAAAGGGGGGGAAAGTTTTATTCTTTTATTTCCATGATTCCTTCTTATTCTACCAGAAGAACAGGACTAAATGTTCTCTTTAGATGAAATGATTAACCATCATTTCCCTGGCTCTTAAGTGTCATCTCTCTTGCTCCATTATAAAGCTATGACAAACAGTCTGATTGTGATTCTTGATACATTCCTTAGAAAATGCCCTCTATTGTTTCATGAACGATGCTACTGAGAGGCCTCATTATACCTTTATAATATGGTAAGAAACAAAAAAGGTGTGTAAATCTGACCCTCCAACCTCACTGATCATGAAATTCCTGTTGGAAAGCCCCTGAAAAGAGTAGTTTCTTCAATTCTTACTGTATTGGACATCTTAACTCAGTAAATAATTTCCTTGACACCTTGGCACTTACCATGCCCAGCCTTCCCAAGGTTCAGAGCAGGAGAAAATGGATTATGCACTTAATAATAAAAGGCGAGTCATCCGACTGGTTCTACAGTGGGCTGCTTTGTATGGAGATCTACTACAAGAGGATGAAGCAGCAATGGCCTTTCTGGAGGTACAGTGGGATTGCTATTGTATCATTATACTGAAGAGCAGCTACCAAGGAGGATTTGCATAAGTCCACTTCACAACCTTTAGAATTCTGTTAACAAGTGTGTAGATGCCATAGATCATTTTAAAGTGCAATGTTCTGTTTGTGTTTTCTTTCTCAGTTTTGGCTGCAGAGTACACACGTGATTGGTTTTTATTTTAATGCACAACAATTATAGAGCCAGCAGGTACAAATCCATGCTTTGTGGGTATTTGTACGATACTCTGTCGCACAGTGAAGAGGGCTCTGACAACAGCAGAATCATTGTAGTTCTGCTGTGCAGGGGTGAGAGGCAGGATTTTGCCAAGGGAGAATAGACCCTCTGCATGCCACAAAGGTCTTCCTAAACCCTGTCATGTAGATTGTTTGTTTGAATCTTGTTGGTATGTGCCAGGGAGGGGCTAGAGGATCTGTCACTATGTGAAGCCAAAGAGCACTCCATCCCGAACTGAGGCTACCCTGCAGCCACACTGTCTGCTGTAGCCTGGAGTCCTTGCCCCCAAGGTCCTTGCAGATCTCCCATACACAAAGCCCAGCTACAGCATTTGACCCATAACAATGTCAATTGTTATGAAGATTGTAAACTCTTTGGGGGCAGGTACCATGCCTTTGTATTTGCTTGTAGTGCACAGTACATTTGGGATGTCATATAAGGAATAACAACAACAACAATAGTGAGATTGCTCTTTTAAAACAAAGTGACCTAACTGTAACAGTGTTTCACTGCATTATGTATAAAATTATCAAAAATGTGGAGTATGGGCTTTGGCAGGGCAGTGCTTAACTAGAAAAAGCACATTCACATCTGTCTCACATTTTTACTATCATGCTTCCTTCCATGTAAAGTTTTAATTTAAGTCAGCTGGAGTTACACAAACAGAAGGGATACAGGAATAGGCCCAGAATTTGAGTGTTGTGGGGCATCTTATTGTTCCCCTATTCACTAAACTGGGTCTCACTCTTAGTAAGCAGTAAACTGGCATATGTAAGCTCACTAATCCTTTATCTTTTTAGGTACAACTCATCTATTGTTTTGTTGTTCAAAGACTGTTCTGTATCATTTACAGGAATTTTATGTATCTGTATCAGATGATGCAAGAATTATTACAGCACTAAAAGAGCAACTCTCAGAGCTAGATAAGACTGTAAAACAAATGTAAGGTCTTTTCTTTTTTGGTTCATTTTACAACTAAATACCCAGTGAAAAATGTCTATCTTACAGCTGGCTGGAAAGTGTTCCCCAAGTCCATGGGAAGCTTTCAAGATGGCTGCTCTAACAGAAAAACACTTCCATGTTCATGCATGTTCAGACAAGCATATGTGACACTTTTTCTCTCTATGAACATTCTTGCAAATACCAAATTCACTCATAAACGTTCACAGACAGAATATGAAAGGAATTGTAAATTCCACTGAAGCAAAGAGATCAGACTAGATCAGGGGTCGGCAGCCTTTCAGAAGTGGTGTGCCGAGTCTTCATTTATTCACTCTAATTTAAGGTTTTGCATGCCAGTAATACATTTTTATTTTTTAGAAGGTCTCTTTCTATAAGTCTAAAATATATAACTAAACTATTGTTGTATATAAAGTAAATAAGGTTTCAAAATGTTTAAGAAGCTTCATTTAAAATTAAATTAAAATGCAGAGCCCTCCAAACCGGTGGCCAAGATCCAGGCAGTGTGAGTGCCACTGAAAATCCGCTCACGTGCTGCCTTCGGCACGCGTGCCATAGGTTGCCTACCCCGGACTAGTTGATGTAATGGTTCCATCTGGCCTTAAAGTCTATGAAGCTATGAACAAAATTGCAAATTAATTGTGTACAATTTTTGCAATATTTGCCCAATCCTAGTTTAGACTATGATAATCTTCCTTTATTTTCTTAGTATAAAAAATGTATGAATACCTACATACAATAGTTTGGAGAGTGGTCAATGTCTAAACTGATATATTGTAGAAAATATCTTCCAAAATATATTTAATGATACAGTATGCTTTTTCTGCTTTCTATAGTTCAGAAGAAACTAAGGCGCCACAAAAGAAGGTAAATGGACTTTATTTGGCAATCTTCTAAAACAAAGGCTTTGCTTTAAGACTTATTGACTTTCCTCTTCAGTAACATACAATTTATTAGAACAACACATATTGAAATATTTTCAAGAATTAAACTGCAAATGTATTTGTTTTACTTTTTCACCTGCATCTCTGATACAGTATGTCTGATTAGATCTACTCCACGTTTCTTCTTGCATTTATGATTATGGGTTTTTGTTTGTTTGTTTGTTTGTTTCTGGCAGCACAAAGTACTTTTGCAGCAGTTTAACACAACTGATGACAGAGCTCAAAAACGCCAGCCAATCAGGGGGAGTGATGAAAGTAAGTATGCAAACAGGGGTTTGCGGCACTCTGTTTTCTGATGTTTGTAATAAATTTGTCAGTTCTGTGGCAGAGATCAAAATAAACATAAGTATCCCCAATTTATAAATCTGGGGCAAAAACATGTTTGCATTTCCTTGCTTAACATGGTGCTTAGTCACTGATTTTAATATAACTTCCTCAGAGGAAAAAATACACTTCCTCAGGCCCTTTAAAATAATTAATAAACAAAGCAGTTTGAAAAACAGCACTAGCAATATGTAGGTGTGTAGTACGTGTGCAATGAGTGATCTGTAACACACATGACATTGGGGCCCTTATTCCCCACTAGTTACACACAGGTGTAATTCTGTAGATTTCATTGGAGTTACATTGTCATAAAATATGTGTAAATAGAATGGAGAGTCGGGTTCTAGATCTCTGGCCTATGACAGGAAGGCCTATTAAATAGAAGCCTTTGTTTGCTCGCATGAATCATTTTGTCTTTAGTTTGACTCCCATGCAGAGTTGAAAATAAAATTTACGTCAGTGCCTCAGACTGAGACTTTCAGCTCTACTCACTTTTCAGACTTTCTTTTTACTTTGGGCTGGAGAAGCTCCTCTGTATGGAGGCAGATTGGAGACCTGGCTCTGTGATTTATCCATCGTAACCAAAGATATTTTAAAAATCCCATAAATCCTGGCACTTTCCCCCAACTGTTAGTCAACATTTCAAACAGGTGTTAAAATTTATCTTCACAATAAAAGCTGCCCCAGCTTAGAACCCAGCATTGTTCTGTCAGTCAAGGGACACTTTGGATAACTGTATGAACAATAATAGTAAAAATATAGCCAAATGCAAGGTTGTACATCTAGGATCAAAAAATGGACTTATAGACTGGGAGACTGTACACTAGAAAGCAGTGATCTGAGAAGGACGTCATTGTTGGTAAGCAAGTGAACGTGAGCTCCCAGTGTGAAACTACAGTAAAAAAGGGCTACCATGATCCTTAGCTGTATAAAGTGAAGAATATTAAGGAGGTGGCATTATATCTGTACATGACATTAGTGAGACCACTACTGGAATGGTGTACCCAGTTCTGGTATCCAATCTTCAGAATGAATGCTGAAAAGTTGAAGAGGGCTCAGAGAAGACCTACAAGAATAACTCATGGTCTGGAAATCATGCCTTACAGTGAGAAACTTAAGAGTTCAATCTATTTAGTTTATAGAAGAGAAGTTTAAGAGGTGACTTGATGATGGTCAATTAGTACCTACACAAGGAGCGGTTATCTGATATTAGAGGACTATTTAATCTATCAGACAAAAAACATGGCAAGATCCAGTGGCTGGAATTTGAAGTCAGCAATATTCAGACTGGAAATGAGATACAAGTTTTTAGTGGTGTGGATAATTACCTATTCATAGATTCATAGATTTTAGGATTGGAAGGGACCTCGAGAGGTCATCGAGTCCAGTCCCCTGCCCTCATGGCAGGACCAAATACTGTCTAGACCATCCCTGATAGACATTTATCTAACCTACTCTTAATGGAGATTCCACAACCTCCCTAGGCAATTTATTCCAGTGTTTAACCACCTGACAGTTAGGAACTTTTCCCTAATGTCCAACCCAAACCTCCCCTGCTGCAGTTTAAGCCCATTGCTTCTTGTTCTATCCTTAGAGGCTAAGGTGAACAAGTTTTCTCCCTCTTCTTTATGACACCCTTTTAGATACCTGAAAACTGCTATCATGTCCCCTCTCAGTCTTCTCTTTTCCAAACTAAACTAATCCAATTCTTTCAGCCTTCCTTCATAGGTCATGTTCTCAAGACCTTTAATCATTCTTGTTGCTCTTCTCTGGACCCTCTCCAATTTCTGCACATCTTTCTTGAAATGCGGTGCCCAGAACTGGACACAATACTCCAGCTGAGGCCTAACCAGCGCAGAGTAGAGCGGAAGAATTACTTCTTCTGTCTTGCTCACAACTCACCTGTTAATGCATCCCAGAATCACGTTTGCTTTTTTTGCAACAGCATCACACTGTTGACGCATATTTAGCTTGTGGTCCACTATAACCCCTATATCCCTTTCTGCCATACTCCTTCCTAGACAGTCTCTTCCCATTCTGTATGTGTGAAACTGATTGTTCCTTCCTAAGTGGAGCACTTTGCATTTGTCTTTTTTAAACTTCATCCTGTTTACCTCAGACCATTTCTCCTATTTGTCCAGATCATTTTGAATTATGACCCTGTCCTCCAAAGCAGTTGCAATCCCTCTCAGTTTGGTATCATCTGCAAACTTAATAAGCGTACTTTCTATACCAATATCTAAGTCGTTAATGAAGATATTGAACAGAGCCGGTCCCAAAACAGACCCCTGCAGAACCCCACTCGTTATACCTTTCCAGCAGGATTGGGAACCATTAATAACTACTCTGAGTATGGTTATCCAGCCAGTTATGCACCCAGCTTATAGTAGCCCCATCTAAGTTGTATTTGCCTAGTTTATCAATAAGAATATCATGTGAGACCGTATCAAATGCCTTACTAAAGTCTAGGTATACCACATCCACCGCTTCTACCTTATCCACAAGACTCGTTATCCTATCGAAGAAAGCTATCAGATTGGTTTGACACGATTTGTTCTTTACAAATCCATGCTGGCTATTCCCTATCACTTTACCACCTTCCAAGTGTTTGCAGATGATTTCCTTAATTACTTGCTCCATTATCTTCCCTGGCACAGAAGTTAAACTAACTGGTCTGTAGTTTCCTGGGTTGTTTTTATTTCCCTTTTTATAGATGGGCAGTATATTTGCCCTTTTCCAGTCTTCTGGAATCTCTCCTGTCTCCCATGATTTTCCAAAGATAATAGCTAGAGGCTCAGATACCTCCTCTATTAGCTCCTTGAGTATTCTAAGATGCATTTCATCAGGCCCTAAGTTTTCTAAATGATTTTTAACTTGTTCTTTTTTTATTTTATCTTCTAAACCTACCCCCTTCCCATTAGCATTCACTATGTTAGGCATTCCTTCAAACTTCTTTGTGAAGACCGAAACAAAGAAGTCATTAAGCATCTCTGCCATTTCCAAGTTTCCTGTTACTGTTTCTCCCTCCTCACTGAGCAGTAGGCCTACCCTGTCCTTTGTCTTCCTCTTGCTTCTAATGTATTGATAAAATATTGACACAGGTTACTAAAGGATATTGGAGTCTTTAAATCAAAACTGGATTAAAAATGTGTTCTAGCCCATCAATTGACTGGATTTGCTGCAGGAATTACCAGGAGAAATTCTGTAGCTTGTCTCATACAGGAGGTCAGGCTATATGATCATAATGGTCCCTTCTGGCCTTAAAATCCATGCATTTATGAGTAATGGCATTTATAATGATGAATGCTACGGTTAGAGTAATCAAATCTCATGGCTGAAGGTGTTTGCTGTTTGCCACAGAGAACACTAAGGAATTCCCCCCTTCCCCATGTCCAGCATTGCCAGTTGGCCAGGTGCATTATTGATAGAAGGGAGTTGCCTTCCTGGAAGTAGGAATGGGCGCTGCAGGAGCCAGGATCCTGTACTCAATGGATCAACAACCTGATCTCATTGGTCTGTGTTCTCTCCTTACTGAAGTCAATGGAGCTACTCCAATTTACCCCAGCTGAGGATATGACCCTTCATTTTTTTTCCTGTGGCTCCTCTGCTATATGCTCAGCCTGAGCTAGTTTGCATTTTATGTGGTTGTATTCAGCTCTGCCCAGGACTCTCGTGTGGATAACGGGCGAAGGAATTCCATAAGAAATTTCAAAATACAAAAATTACTGTTTCAAAATAAAAAACTGGAATAAAAATGTTGCCAGGTAAGTGTTGCAGTTTGGCTTTGTTTCATATTCCGTGAATGGTGTGAGTGAGACCGAGACTGATGTGGGGACGGTTATAATAGCTGCACAGTGGCAAGAATGACTGTGCAGAGTAAAAAGTGGGGCTCCTGAATGATGGAGCCGTTCCTCTTGCACTTCCAGCAGAAGTGGTCTACTTATGTAGGCTAAGGCAGCCCAGGAACAGCACTAATATGCACCGTTGGCACAGAACCTACCCTGCAGCTGAGGCACACTTAGTACTGCTCAGGAAGAGGGGGTGGAAAGGTGTCCTTAAATCACCTTGCATCCCCCCAGTCCTCGGATGTATCTGCACCAATCCAGCCCCTCGGTGCAACTTAGAACAATTTACAGCCTGAACTAAGTTGCACCAGCTGCTTATGGCCCTAAGTGCCATTACAGCAGCTAAGGATCAGAAGAGCTTAGAGACACCTTGGCCATGCTGCCTTTCCTCAGCCGTGCTTCAGGCACTGGTCTCCTGATTGTATGCATAGGAGCCCGCAGAGCAGTGCGCCAGCTGAAGGCCCCTGTCCTCTGGAAGCGGGTTAAGCTGGCTTTAGGGCACTTTGCCCTGGGACCATGGGCCATGACTGCCATATAGCAGTCTAGCTCTGGGTTTCTGACTTTTTCACTTCTAAAACTATATTAGCATGGACTCCCTCTTCTTTTGCCCTCCTTTAGATCCGCACGTTCTTGACCAAATATCAGCTGCCTCTCCCTTTCCAGCATGGAAAATCACAATAAGGAGATACTAGGCTCCTCAAATTTTGGTGAGATCAGGTTCTCACCCCAAAAAATTGAAAAGCGGGGACCCCATTCTGTCTTTCCCCCAGCTAACTCCTCACCTCACTCTTCCCCCGCATTAGCCTCTTTCACACTTTCTCCGGTTTTGAATCATTTTTTTTAATTAGGTCAAGACACAGTTTAAACAGTGCCGTACCCGATACGATTTTCTTTCTTAACAGTTTCTCCAACCTGAGACAGGGACAGCATTTCCAGCAAGTGAGCAGGTCACTGAGGCAGGGACAGTAAGAACATCAGGCAAGATGCAGGGTTCCCAGGCATCCTTTTTAGTGTATTGGTCTGTGCTCTCTGAAGAAAATAGTGCCCTGCATCACTGTATATCTCTGTGTCTCTCTCTCTTCCTTGCACCCCAACAACACACTGTCAATACAAAGCGACAAAGAGTCCTGTGGCACCTTACAGACTAAGGTGCTACAGGACTCTTTGTCAGTTTTTACAGATCCAGACTAACACGGCTACCCCTCTGATACTTGACTGTCAATACAGTCACTCACACTCTTACCCTACCACTATTCATCTCCCATTTAGCTATGCAGACACCAACTCATTCACCGTCCCCCTCACACACCGTCATGACCAGAAAGGGCCCTAATAGCATCCTGAATTATTAAGGTTTCTGTCCCTTATACATGATGAAAATCTTGATACATTTGATTGGGAAACTGGTGTCGGTCTGTTATGATTTATTGCCCATCCTAGGCAAGAGTGTCACTTGTGGAAATTTCTAGCTCTCTGTAGTAGATTGCAAATCTCATGTTGATTCACGCAAAATACTTTGTAAATTACACATACCCATGCCATGTTTTAAAAACTAGGCAATGTAGGAGGTACAAACTTCTAAAGAACTTTATCTGTAAGACTTACAGATGCATATTGTGGTGACATCTTGTGTTTTACTCTGGCTGTTAATATACTAGTCCGTCTTCTGAGAAAGCTGGCAGCATACAGGGAGCCAGAGCAAGAATTATTTCCAAAGATGAGTTGCAGTAGAGCTAAACAGCAGGTGCACAGCACATCTTTTATAATTTAATTCATCTCCAAATCTTTAACATTTGAGAGAGAACATCCAGTTCAATACTCCAGCAGTGGATAAGGTACTTGAAAATGAAGAGCAATCTTGCACTAGCGTCTGGAAAGATCTGATTACTCATAGATATTTTCCATCTCTGATGTCTTGTATTCTGTGATCACTCCGTCCTTCAGAACAATCTGAAGGCTTACTCCAAAGCCCACTGAAATCAATGGACAGATTTGCACTGACTTCAGTGGGCTCTGGATCAGGCACTCCTTTTTTTTCTATTTCTCAAATCTCATCTTGAATCTTTTTTCTCCAGTTTAGCTGACAGTCAACATTAAATTCTACTTGCCTTTCTTTTTTCCATTGCTGCATCCTTCCGCCCTCCTTCCCTCTTTTACTAGTTTGCTAGGATATTTACTTTCATCTCTATTGCTTTCACTTGTCTTCTCCCTTGTTCCTTTTCTTCTACTTTACCTTTGTATGTCATTTTATATAGTATGTTGCTGTACCCAACTCCTGTATTATCTTTCTGTTCCACCTCTCATTGCAAAGTGTTTTATGATGCTAGGTATTGAGGATGCTATATGTAAAATGGATAGTATTTTATTAGAGCCAGGACTCCAGGTATGTCCTGCTGATAGAGCAAGCATCATATTTTGATTAAATCAGATATTTTAGAAAATTAATTGGTATTGTATTAAAAAAATCCCAACAACTACAAAAACCCATTGGCTCTGGCCTCTGTGGACTCCATTAAAGTAGCATTGCTAAAAAATACAGCACTAGGCCATATTATCTCATTCTGGGAATCTCCACCAGACTGGAAGGGGGACAGTGTCTGTACTCTATGACCCTCCCCAGCCCAATCTCTGCCCTCCCTTAGCACGGAGCCAATCTGTGGAGTAGGATTAGTGGGAGTCCATTCCACATGTGGAGGCAGCTGGTCACTCTCCTCTTCTGTAGGAATAGGAGAAGAGTCATGCATGGAAGGGGCCCTCCATCTGGGGATCTGTGAGTGGAAACAACCATGATATTGTGTATCCACAGGCTTTGTGCTGATAAACCAATATCACATGTGGATCAATCTGTAGAAGTGTTCATCCGATATATGTATTTCATACCTCCATAGGACTCTAGGGGCATCTCGCCATGGATGTACATCACATATTCAGAGAGCCATAATTTGGTTGGTCTCTCCTTTGGATTTACATAGAGTCATAGAAAATATAAAGTCAGAAGGGACTACCAGATCATCTAGTCTGACTTCTTGTATATCACAGACCACTAACCACCACCCAGCCACCACCAGCAGCCATAAGGCCAGTCAGATATTGCTTCCATGGAGGAAGCTCATCACATTCTATAGGGTTATATAGCAATTGAGCCCAAGGCTATATATTTCTCATTGATAGGACAGGCACCAAAGTGAACATAAGCTATTTGGCTTGGTTTGGCAGTTGGGCTAAAGGAGTTTTTTGCTTGCTTCCTCTTTTGGCTTGAATTTATGCCACTTCTCTCCTGCTCTTTACTGGCTGATGTAACATCATTACAGTCTCTGCAACAATATGACCTTGTATTTCCTATTATTTTATGGGGCAATTCTTACTATATTGTATTTTTATAGGGCTGTCGATTAATCGCAGTTAACTCACACGATTAACTCAAAAATATTAATCGCAGTTTAAAAAATTAATTGTGATTAATCGCAGTTTAAATAATAGAATACCAATTGAAATATATTAAATATTTTTGGATGTTTTTTTATATTTTCAAATATATTGATTTCAGTTACAACACAGAAAACAAAGTGTACAGTGCTCACTTTATATTATTATTTTTGTTTACAAATATTTCCACAGTAAACATCATAAACAAAAGAAATAGTATTTTTCAGTTCACCTCATACAAGTGCTGTAGTGAAATCTCTTTATTGTGAAAGTGCAATTTACAAATATAGATTTTTTTTGTTACATAACTGCACTCAAAAACAAAACAATGTAAAACTTTAGAGCCTACAAGTCCACTCAGTCCTACTTCTTATTCAGCCAATGGCTAAGACAAACAAGTTTGTTTATATTTACAGGAGATACTGCTGCCCGCTTCTTATTTACAATGTCACACGAAAGTGAGAACAAGCGTTCGCGTGGCAATGTTGTAGCCAGCATTCCAAGGTATTTACATGCCAGATATGCTAAACATTCATATGCCCCTTTATGCTTCGGCCAACATTCCAGAGGACATGCTTCCATACTGACGATGCTCGTTAAATAAGTGTTAATCAAATTTGTGACTGAACTCCTTTGGGGAGAATTGTATGTCTCCTGCTCTGTTTTATCCACATTCTGCCATATATTTCATGTTATAGCAGTCTCGGATGATGACCCAGCACATGTTGTTCATTTTAAGAACACCTTCACCGAAGATTTGACAAAACGCAAAGAAGGTACCAATGTGAGATTTCTAAAGATAGCTACAGCACTCAACCCAAGGTTTAAGAATCTGAAGTGCCTTCCAAAATCTGAAAGGGACAAGGTGTGGAGCATGCTTTCAGAAGTCTTAAAAGAGCAACACTCTGATGTGGAAACTACAGAACCCGAAAGACCAAAAAAGAAAGTCAACCTTCTTCTGGTGTCATCTGACTCATGATGAAAATGAACATGTGTCGGTCCACACTGCTTTGGATTGTTATCGAGCAAAACCCGTCATCAGCATGGACGCATGTCCTCTGGAATGGTGGTTGAATCATGGAAGGACATATGAATCTTTAGCGCATCTGGCAAGTAAATATCTTAGCGATGCCGGCAATAACAGTGCCACACAAATGCCTGTTCTCACTTTCAGGTGATGTAAACAAGAAATGGTCATTATCTCCTGCAAAGGTAAACAAACTTGTTTGAGCAATTGGCTGAAGAAGAAGTAGGACTGAGTGGACTCAGAGGCAATAAAGTTTTCCATTGTTTTATTTTTGAATTAAGTTATTTTTTGTACATAATTCTACACTGGTAAGTTCAACTTTCATGATAAAGAGATTGCACTACAGTACTTGTATTAGGTAAATTGAAAAATACTATTTCTTTTGTTTTTTACGATGCAAATATTTGTAATAAAAATAAATATAAAGTGAGAACTGTACATTTTGTATTCTGTGTTGTAATTGAAATCAATATATTTGAAAATATAGAAAATGTCCAAAAATATTTAAATAAATGGTATTCTATTATTGTTTAACATCACGATTAAGCACAATTAATTTTTTTAATCACTTCAGAGCTCTAATTTTTTACAATTGTATGTTTGTTGCGAGGCCACTTCCTCTCATTTTCCGAAACATTCTTGATTTCTCAATAATATATTTAAATATAAAAAAGGGGATTAGAACAAATGCAATGCAGATTAAATTAAGCTTTGATTGTGATCATGAATCTCTTATCAAATCTGGTTTTTTAAATATGTAAACTCTCTCTATTGTATGTAGGGATTTATAGCCAATTTTTCTTAACTTTTGAAAAAAGAAAAATCACTTATTAAATATCCAGTGGCCTGAAACTTAAGGAAATACCAAGTGATACTGCCTTTTATGAATAATATGGTAACATTGGAATTTCTGATATCTTATAATTTGCTAGAAGTTCCTGCAAATCAGTTATTGAAATTAGTCAAACTTTAGAACAATTATCAATCTTGGAGCTACAGTACCAAATAAACTTGTGGCGACCTGCTGGTGTTTGTTATATCTGTGAGCAATGGGTTATTGAAGTACAGCAAGTAATTTGCACAGTAAACTGTATTCGGTTATGTACAGTATTCACAATGCACTCTTTTGTCTTTAGTTCTGTTTAAGGTATACTGTATAGATCACACCTACACTACTATCCGCGTGCCGGTGATGGCCTCTGTTAAGGAAGTGATCAGCGCGGTAGCAGATAAACTGGGTTCTGGAGAAGGCTTGATCATAGTAAAGATGAGTTCAGGAGGAGGTACGGTTTTTGCATGATCTTTAATGCTTCTCATTTAAAATGAAGCACAAAACCAATGCTAGTTTGGTAAAGGCTATTCCAGTACATTTTAATACATGTTCAACTAGTATGAAATCTCGTTCTTAGGAGCAAATCCTGTCCCACTTTTTTGCAGTTGCAGCATTTTTTTGTTTCAAAAGTGGGTGACAGCCCAGGCAGCCTTCTTAGCATACACGGGGAGAGAGTGATTCATAAATCAATTTATAAGCTCTTCTTTACCTGTGATCTGCACTCCATTTTTTAGGACTGCCATGATTGCCTGAGGGTGTGGTGAAATGCACTTACTTACTGACTTTCAAGTCAGTTTTGGAATAAGAACAGCTATCTAATCTCTCCCTGCTCAAGAGAATGGTGATCTAATTATTGTTGGGTTTTGGGGGTTTCTAAAGGTTTCTATGCACGATCCCTGACTCTTGATTTCAGTCTAGGGGTTAGGATTCCACGTCCCAGATCGATGGGAGTTTCATTTGAGCTTTGCTCATTTATATATTGATGTCACTTTTCTTCAGTAAGTGGGTTCTTATAGTCATCTACCTTGTATCTAAGGCATTCACTATACTCATTCAAGTAATGCACATACCTACTAATTTGTTGTTGTTGTTAGGTCGCTGCTGTTAATTCCACATGCATTTAATAGGCAATCATATGCTTTCATTTTTATAGAAAAGGTTGTGCTCAAACCTAATGATGTTTCAGCATTTACGACTCTCAGTGTTAATGGACGTCTGTTCGCTTGCCCACGAGACCAATTTGATTCCCTGGTATGTATGTGTACTGTTCTCAGCATTGCAAATCAGAGAGCTTCTTTGGAACTTAACTTTCCAGGTACAGTAAAAGCTTTATTATCTGGCATGTTGAGGAATGTGTGTGTGGGGGGGTGCCAGTTAGTCAAAAATTCCAGCTAACTAAGAGTTATACTTACCAATTTTCAAAGAATTAGAATATAATGAAATGAATAAGAGGTACTCACCAATCCAGCAGAGGTACTGCACTGCAGAGTGGTTGGTTTCTTGAAGCACTTAGGTGTATACAGGTAAAGTTTTCTATACAGTAGGTTATCTTATAACACTACATATCACTATGTGCAGCGCATGGCGTACAGCTACATCACTAAAAATACACTTAACACTAAAACTAGACTGAACATAATTTAATCTTTCTTTGAGGATTCAGAAGACACTTCAGGATCTTGCAGTGCCTCAGGGCCATCATTATCAATAGCAATTATCATCGTAGATGTAGAAGGTGTAGGGGATTGGGCTGAATCTGTAATGACCCTACGACACATCCTGGAAGCTGCTTTTTTTAATGAATCCCTGATATCAGGTTGCTTACTTGTCTTCTGCCTCTTTTGCATAAAAGTAGAGTGCAAAATGTTCAATTGCATAACTTCCTGGGCAGTATACTAGTCCCAGTTACTAGACTGAAGATTTGTATTGGGAGATATCAGAAATGCGGGTTGATAGAGCTTTCTGTTTGATCAAGTGCTGGATAACACAGCTTTTACTGTACTTTGAACACTAGTAGCTCAAAAGTTTCTTGCGCCATTCTGCCTTTTGAATGTTTTAGCTCATCTAAGAGAGTCAGAGCTAACATTTTGTCACCGTGCTGTGGGAAGAGCGTCCATATATATATATATATAAAGGGTAATAGTATCATTTCTTAAACTAGAGCAAAAATTGTTCTCCTATCCACACAGCAAATTTTGACTCCAATATTCTAAATGGAATTGAGTATGTAGGCAGAGGAAAATATTATAACCCAGATTTGTGGTGCGGATCTGATTATAGAATTCTCTTCTCCCCCCTCCCTCCCCCCCGTCCCTGTATGTATAAGGGGAGTTAGATGTTATCAATTGAAGTATTATACAGACTTGATTCATGCAGTAAGTGCTTTAAAACCATTTCTGCCTGACCCCCACAAATACCATGAGAAAATCACAGATGATTCTAACTTGAATCACAGAAAATATTCTATGTAGAAAGTCTGGATTTCCTTAAGTAAAATTGTTCATAAGTGCTTATTCATACAGTAACTTTAACAATGTCCATGGGGCCTGCTTTTATGGTGCTTGATTTTTACTGTACTTTTTGTTCCTTTTACTTCATTAAAAACAACTGTCATTGCCAAGCCATGTCAGCATAAACTCTATTACTCCAGACCTCCTGTATGCTTTTAACAAGTTACTTAGTATGTATGCCTTCTTTCTTTTATAGATATTGCAAAATCTGAGTTTTGCTTCTGCTTTAGATTTAGAAACTTAGTTGTAAATTTTCAGTCCTTGGCTGCCTTTTCCATCTTTGCTATCTCCAGTTAGCATGGACTGAATATGTCAAATACACTTTATTGTACCATTCAAATGTGACAAAGTCCCAATCCTGTGATGTTCTGACAGTCCTCAGCTCCTGTTGGCTTCAGGAGAAATAGAGGGCATTAAGCATCTTATAGTTGCTTCTCAGCTCTCCATAATAGAAGTCCACACATTGACTGTTCCTGCAGTATTCTGAAGAATGGTATTAATAACTAGCAGAATCCTACAAAATGAAACACCTTTTACCATTTAAGAATGCGCTTTCTAACTTGTGAATTTGTTGATGTTTTGCTTGGCAAGCCCCTTGTGAAAATTAGGGGGTTATTCTGGAATGGATGAATTTGCAAATATTTTGTGTGTCTAAGTCTAAATGTTTCTTCTCCAGCATTGGAAAATATATTTAGGGCCAGCTATTTGTAATGGTAACACAGTAATGTGTTGTGATAGTCTCTGAATAGGAACAAAAATCTATTTAATTTTGTGCAAAAGTCACTCTTCCCTGAAGGTAAAAATGAAAAGCTAGGCTTGTAGAGCCATAATGCCAGTAGTATTGTAAACTATTTTGGATCAGTTTGACGTGATTGTATCATTATGTTGTTTGTGACGCAAGTTTATCGTAAAGAACAAAAAGTAGCAACTCGAGCAGAAATAAATTTACTATATACTTATGTATTACTTAGGGGCCTGCTGGTATATTAATCCAGAGAGCTCTATTTATTGTTAAAATTTTGCAGCCATAATTTCTTTTGTAAGTGCAGAATAATGTAGTAATCGTAACTTTCTTGTTTGGAAATATAGTCTGTTGAAATATGGGACCTGATCTTGCAGCCCTGGTTCAGGTTGGACTCAGGATGGGACCTGCTTTGTTGATAGCACATTTTTCTATGATAATCTGCAACATATTAGATTATGGTCATTAAAAATTAAAGACAGCATGGAGGAATTTGTAGAGAAAATTGTAAATGAACTACACTGCCCTCTCCTGGAAGCAAAAGCAATTTAAAATGTAGGTTCACGTGAAGCACTATTTAAGAAGTCCAAGGATGTGTTTACACAGGGTGCATGTGAATTGGCAACAGGTATATTGTTTGGCAACTGAATAATTTTTGTATGGATGGTTTAGTGTGTTTGACCCTAATATATACAGTAGATGACTCCAAATATGGAATCATCCCAGCCTACATTTTAAATTGATTTAGTTTAAGAATTATTTGTGTTTTGTGCAAAACTGCAGCTCACATCTTTTATTAGATTATATGAAAATCCATTTAAAAATTAATACTTTAATAACTCAAAGGAATGTATTCTGTGAACACATAAAACTCCCAATAACATAACTGGGAGTTATACAATCACAAATGTCAGATAATGATCCGAAGACTGGAATATATGCAATGTATACTGAAAGAGAAAGTATGAGATACACTTCTTAGATTGTTACAGCTTTCTAAATTATAATAAAGGAAATAATTCACATCACTAAAAGCTGTTTGTTGCAAAAACATTAGGTTTGTATGTTGTGGTTTGGATCTGTGTGCATGTAGAAATGGGAATTGATAATAGTGGCTTTATTGCTACCTATAGTTGAAAGCAGACTCCAGCTATACTATTTGAAATCCCTTCAGAAATTGGTGACATTGGAAAAAAAAATCAGGAGTTCTTCAGAGGACTAAGCACTGGTGGTGCAAATTATCATTCTGAAATATTCTTGTATCATTATTCTTATTGACAGACACCTCTGCCAGAACAAGAAGGCCCATCGACTGGAACTGTAGGAACTTTTGAACTCATGAGCTCCAAAGACTTAGCATACCAGATGACAATTTATGATTGGGAGCTCTTCAACTGTGTGCATGAGGTATGGAGAATCTAAATAACATCGTAGTATTTATTATTAAACATTTAGCTGTTCAGTGTAGATACTGATACTGTTTGCCAGATTTTCTCTGAGTTTAACTTGTAGATTCTTAGCCGTTGTAAGCCTTGAAACTATTAAATACTATTCCAGCCACTGCAAAAATATAAAGTATATCAAAGAAATATCGCCTAATAGTGCATTCTATATTGAATTACTTTGATATGTCTCATTGAGGGTATTAAACTGTTACTACATAGTCTATATTTATGCTTTTAATGTGCCTTAGTGGTTGTCTACTGAATTTGCAATGGAAGCTGAATCCTTGTCAGCTGTATCATGCACACATTTACTGCACAGCAAGTTTCAAGCCTGAATAATTTAGAAACCTAACAGTGACTTCTCACTCCTCTCAATCCCCCCCCCCCCAAGAAATATCTGAAAACCAACCCTGTTTTTTCTCTCCTAGCTGGAGCTGATTTACCACACATTTGGAAGGCACAATTTTAAAAAGACCACAGCAAATTTGGACTTGTTTTTGAGAAGATTTAATGAAATCCAGTTCTGGGTGGTCACAGAGATTTGTCTTTGCTCCCAACTCAGCAAGCGTGTTCAACTGTTAAAGAAATTCATTAAGATAGCAGCCCAGTGAGTATACACTAGTATATACAGACAGAGGCTGAAATATATGCCAAATTTTTAATATATTTGTTGTTTGTAATTTTTACAGAGAATCAAACATAGCTGAAAAAGCCTAATTAATCTTGCCCATCCTTGTTAATGTAGGATTGTTCCCTGTTACTGTTTGTCTTCCCCTTTTCTGCTCATCTCCTCTATTTACCCTTGCTCCCAGCATTCTTAGAGCCCAGTCCTGCAACCACCTACATGAGTAATTCATTGAGTTCAGTGGGACCAATCCACTTATGTTACATGCAGGATAAAGTCATTTACATTCTTCTGGGGTAGAAGTCCCTCAAGCAGAGTGAAAGTAGAGCAGGAGAAGAGCAGGGTGAAAGTGTAGAGCGGCTCCTGTTAGCCTCACTCTGTGGTATTTTTTTCAGACATCCAAAACGTTATTGTCTCTCTCTTTCCAGCTACCAAGCTTAAAGATGGATGGCAGCAGGACACATGGAGAAATAACAGTCCTTCATAAATAAAGCGTATTATAACATTCTGTAATACTCCAGCCGAGTGATACATTTTGGGTGACTCATTACAAAAACTAAGTATTTGCACATTTTGCTGGAAAATTGCAAATTATCCTAGTTTTGCCCCCCAAAAAGTATGGCTCAGTGAAAACAGATAAATTTGTGAGTAAAAACAGACAATTGACCCCAAAAATAGGCAAAATGTAAGCTCACTTTCAAGCAAAGTGTATTTGGCTAGGTAGCTGGCCAGTGGGGATTGCTGATCTCTAACTTGTTTGTTAATATCTCATCATTTAAAATAAATTTAAAATTACTTGGAACCTTCAATTTCTGCTTTTAGGGCTTGATTTCTCATCATGGAATTCAGTAGGAACTTTCTGTTGACTTCAAAGGGAGCAGGGCCACAACTAGCCTATGTAATCAGAGTTCCTAGCACTGTTAACCTCTTCTTCCCTCCTCCCAATCCCTGCTATTGTTTGTTACACCCACCTGTTGCTTCTAAACTCCTCAAGGGAGGAACTGTGTCTTTCTATGTGTTTGCACAATGCCTTGTATGATGGACCCAGATCTTGACTGGGGCCTCTGGGTATTATTATAATACAAATAAGTAATTTACACTTAAAACATGAAAAAACATTTTTGCATTTTATAAAACAAATCCCCCATTTTTAGAAGTGTCATGAGGGAGTGGGGGAGGAAAGGATTACTATAAAATAAACTCTGAATTCTGCTCCAGAAATCATAATTTTTCATATTCCAAACCCATGCCCACATACAAATCATATACAAGCACTAGCATGACCAATTCTGCTGCATAGAGGGCCTGATATTGCAAGGTACTGAGTTCCTTCTGGAAATTGCTGAGCGCTCTCAACATTCACTAAAGGTAGTGGAAGTTTAAGGCACCCAACACCTATAAGATGCACTCAGCACCTCACAGGATCAGACTCATAGTAAGGTAAATAGAACATACTCCTCTCCAGTAGTCTCTAAAAACAGCCATTCCATTATCTGGTTCTTTACAGGGAAATTGTAAACCAGAAAGCAGATTTGACATATTCTGTCCAGTAGAGGGCAGTAGGATACATACACACAAATGAATAAGGTTTATTCCTCAAATCAGCAGTGTAAATGGGAAAATGCATAAATGCAAGTAAATGAAGATATTAAGGTAAATTTAATAAACCTTTAAAATCAGTCATCTTCAAAATAACAGTTAAACTTCACCTGAAGAAAAAACAGGGAAAATAATCAATCATAAAGTGCCCCAGACCCATTAGATTTCCCAGGGTTAACTTGTGCTATTTAGATCAGCTTGATGACCTGTTTACTTCCATGTTTCTGGTCTCACTACAATTCTAAAAATAAATGGCTAAACGTGACCTGCTCTACTGAGACCTCTGTGTCTCCTAAAGGCAGGGAGTTCTGAAGCACAAGATTTTCCTAAATAAAAACTGAGCTGGCAGATTTATTTTCAGTGGCTGCAAGAGAACTTTAAAAATTATGGGGCTCTTTCTTACCATATAAATTGTTGCCATGGTAACAGGTGCTACAGAACATACTGAAACAAATATCATGTGCTGAAGAGTTAGAACAGAAAGAGCCAAGGGATTGAGTTAAAAAAAGGTAGGCCCAGACCTTGATATAATATTCCCGTCTACATTTGCACATGAAGAGCCTTGATAAACTAGTAACCGAATGAGAGTCGAATCATTCCTGGGAGCAGAGGAAGGTGCACTGGACTCATTAGGGAGGGCACTCAGTTCAGTACAGCACTGTTACTCTTCCAGGGTAGCTGGCGGTGAAATTGTGTGGCTCTGCAGCTTTCCTGGCATACTGATATTCGGAGATAATGGCTGCCGAGCCCTTTGTTTCCATACTGTGACTGAGGGGTCCCCACTTTTCCAATAGACATGCTCTCTCTGCCCCGCAATGCACCCTTATTGGTGCTCACACCCCTAGGGGAAGTTGCATAATCAGATGCGGGCTCATTGTGGTGAGACTGGTGTACTTTCGGCTTACTGTGCAATGGTTGCCCCTGCCACTTGCTGGGTAAAAGTGCTCAGCTCACCAGGTCACAAACCCGGCATCTCTACATACACATTATTTAAAAGAACCTCTTTATGTGTATCCACAAAAGAGATTTACTCACTCTTCTATGCCTCCTCTCTCTCATCTCGATACACACTAGTTCACACACAGTCATTAAAAATCTCTCTCCATATGCACACTCACAAAACATTCCCTTATTTCAGACAAAGGGTAGTTGTAAATTGCAAGTTGCAGCTTCCTTAAATAAGCCCATACTACGCTTGAACACTAGTATTTTAATACTTATTATTTCTACAGAGCCCAGATTTATGCTTGGTGTCTCCCAGAACAAGTAAAGACATGTTACCATCATCAAAGCAACATATGAGGGAAATAATTTTGGCAGCAGCATTGGAAGGTTGGAGGGTGGTAAGGTTGTTAACAAGAAGACCCGAGAGCAGAAGAGGTCACATTAGTCAGTAGATGATTAGGTTGTGGACAAGTGATTTGACCATCAGGAAAAAAAAAGAAAAAGATGTGTTTTTTTTAAATGTTGTGAAGGAAAAGCTACAGGACGTGGCTATGGCTTGGACGTGAGGGGAAACAGAGCCAAGTTAATCCCCAAGGCTACAAACCTGGGTGACAGGATTATGGTAACTGTTCACTGGTATAGTATTGGGAGGAGAGATAGTTTTCGGAGGCGAGACTATGAGCTCACTCTTAGTCATGCTGAGTTTAAGGTAAAGATACAAGATGAGATATCGGAGAGAGGATAGAATATTCAAGATTGAACTTCTGTAGGTAAAGCTGAAGTAGAGAATTATATTTAAGAATCACAGTTTGAATCTCTTGCTTTTATAGTTTCCTTAATATCTTACCACCCAACCTTTGCAAGTCAAATAGCAAAAGAAGCATAGGCCTAAAGCTTTCTACTTTGGGCAATTATAGTAACAAACATAGCAAATCATTTGCAAAGATGTGGCATATTAGATATTCTGTAACATGCAGTTATATCCTTCAGTCTCTCCTCAGCGCTAATGAAGGAGCACTCTTGTATTGGAGTTTAGGGCAGATTTAGTGCATCTAGTATGTGGGGTCTTCAGCAATGGATATGTTGTAAAGGGTCTTTATAATGATGAAGATGACAACTGGCACTTATTTAATTGAAAGATCCCAAAGAGTTCAAGAAACCCGCACAAATTGATTACAGACTATGTATACAGGGGTCACTGAAACACAGCCATCTCTGGTCATCTGCCCCTTGAATCTGGAGTAAGACTCTTCTGGAGTGTAGACAGCCTGCCAGCCCACCAAGTTCTGCAGCAATGGGAGTGTAAACCATGCTTCTCCCAGTGTTTTTAGCATTCCTTGGGCCTTAACTTAGTCTAGTGTCAAGAGATAGTGCACTGGTGGGAGGGAAAGGTGTTAAAAGGCCATGGATTCCCGTATGCCAAAGATGACATCAGATAAGAGGAAAACTGGTGGTCAATTTTGAGGCGTGAGGGGAGAGAAGCTTCCAGGTGAATTTGATCAGTATAGATACAATTATCCTGGGTTTACCAAGCTTCTCATTATGCTTTGAGTTTGAGGTTCAAACAAAACTCAGAGGGAGAGGTGTTGCAAAATGATGTCTCAAGCCCACTGGTAAGGTTTGCCAGAAAGTAATCAAACTCAAACCAAAGGCTTCTCTTCCACTCTCTTCAGGACCTCAGTTTTACTTCTCTCTGATTATATGCATAACATTAAAAGTCTGGACCTTTTGTATTTCAGCTCTAAGGAATACAAAAATCTTAATTCCTTTTTCGCTATTATCATGGGACTGAGTAATGTTGCTGTGAGCCGCCTTTCACTAACATGGGAGGTAAGTGATAGCTACAATCCAGTTCCGAGACCTTTGGTTGTATTTCTGCTTTTAGTAAGCAACAACATCCATCCATGTTATTTCTAGAATTAGGGTTGAGAGGGAGGCATGCCATTCTTCAAGACAGTAATTCAGCTCCTGAGAGGAGAGGTTACTACTGTAGGCTAAAAGCTTGGAGACATCCCACACCATTAATGAGCATTTGTGTAACACAATACTGAGCTGCTGTGTTGTGTTTTATTTTACAAAAAAGGAGGTGAAGAGGGAGGCAAAATCATTGTGGGAAGCAAGGTGAAATGACATTTCATGGGCCAAATTCTCCTTTACCCCAGTATAGCCCTGCTCCAAAAATTCTGAAAGATTTTTCATGAAATTTTTTAGCAAAACATTTTCATCAAAATTTCCATTTTTATAAAAATGTTGACCTATATATGCTGGTTGAAAACAGAAAATGTTTGCACATTTTTTGAATATTTCTGTGAACATTTTTCATGAAAAATAAAAAAATGTTTGGCCAGGTTGCTGTGATATGTCAGTGATATGTTACTGGTGTAACTGAAACCAAAATATGACCTATTGCATTTAACATGTTTCTAAAATCTGGCCTGAAAATGGGGATTCGAGGTACCATCAGAAGGCACCAGTTTACAAAAAGACCTAACCTGAAATCTAAATGTACACCTGCAATTTGCAGCCAGAGAAGCCTATATTGATTTTTCTAAATACCAGCATAAACCTTCTCACAATTAACGTTGAAGGCATGAATTTGAAGGCTAATTTCTAAATAAATGGCCCTTTATTTCTAGCTACTAAGATTGGGGGTTTAAAAGAGGGCAGGAGTTCTAAACAGACAAGAGGTGGAATTTAAATTATTTACTGTGTACAACAAACTGGAATTTACAATAGATATGGGGATTGAGCTGGAAGGGGGAAAAATTTGTAAGTGAAAGAGGTATGATACTGTATTCAGATAAATGTTTTCACATTCTTTTGTTCAGCAGAGCAGTCAGGTTATCAAAGCATAATCTAAGAGTATCTCTGCTGGGTTTTTTCAGGATATATAGAGTGAACATCATTAAAAATAAATATTTAGGACCCGATTTTTACTAATGTTCATATGCACGTATGTCAGTCGCACACACAAATCAGGTATTTGCAGGTGCATATGGCCACTTCATTCACTAATACCTAATTTGTATGCGTATAGAAAATAGGCACACAATTGTTCATGTCCATCACTAGAAATGAGGCCCTTGCTGTGGTACTCTACCTATAACATGCCTATTAAATAGAGGAAAAACTTTGCTGCAGAATCGACTTTAAGGAAATATTTCTTTATTGCTTATGATGCCCGCTAAATGTTGTAATGTGATTTGATCAGAAAATATATTCAAATTTGTAATGCAAATTAGAAAGCTGACATGTTTCAATTTGATATATGAAAGTTACTGTGATCTTTGAAGCTGTCTTTTTCACATACCAGTATCCAGTTCCAGTAAATTTGATCAACATTTCTAGTATAATATGAGATAGAAAGCAACTATTTAATAATGTTCCACCATATCCTTTGTTCACTGTAGGCATAGCTGACAAAAGTTCATTTTCAGTGTCTATTGTGAACTGAAAAGTTATTAATTAACTTAAACCCAAACAAATGAACACTGACCCTTGGATTCCACGCGAATCAAGGATTTATGTAATAGCTGATGATACATTTGCCTTAACAATAGCTCCTGGAAATGCCCAGGTGTGGTTTGACTGACTTGTGAATATTCCAAAAGTCCCTTCTGTGAATGATCTAGCTGAAATAATACTGCCCAAGGTATTTTTGTGAATTGCTTTGGTTCAAACAGGCTCTCATTAAGGATGGGCCTGAATTGGAACACTGAATTAAACTTTCATTTCCACTTTGGATCCAGATATGAATGTGAATTACTTGGCTGCAGCATGTCACTGTAATGGGCCAATTCAACATCTGAATCTGAACATCTCAAACTAGGTAACTTCAGGATTGGATCCAAATCAGGATCCAGGTTTTGTAGCTCAGTCCCATCTCTATTTATAATCTGGTTGCTAGGAGACGTGCTGTATTTTACATTACCACATTGTTCCAAAAGGAACAGTTTTTCCTGCTTTATGGATGTTTACAAGAAACATATACAGTTAAATGATTATACTGAATGCAGATTGAATTTAACACAATTTTCTGTTGTTTTTGTTTTATTAACAGAAACTTCCAAGCAAGTTCAAGAAGATCTATGCAGAGTTTGAAAGCTTGATGGTAAACGGCAATAGATCCTTTATTCTGTGCACAATCTGTACTAATTCAGTTTCTGAGTAACTGATTTGAATTCCTCGATTCAGAACATTTTATATGTCCTTGTTTGAATTTAAGAAGTTTATGATCCCATTTTAGTGCTGCTAAAATAAGCATGTATGACTAATAAATTATACTCTTAGGAACTTACTCTGACAGAATTTATGTACCACTTAAGGTCAATCTGGGAAACTCTGAAAAGCTTTATAACATGTTTTCCCATTGTACATATGGGAAATTATATTTTCTAACATGGATTTTTTTTTATTCCGGTGTCTGCAAATCCATTAGAGGGAGGAAAAATATGATGTTTCTATTCAAATAAGCTCTTTTGTAATCACACTTATATCTTGTCATTTGATAGGAAAACTGTTAAATTTAATAAAAGCTGTCCTTGTTTTGAAGCTGCACTTTTTAAAGCTGCAAGACAAAGTAATTACATTTAATAAACACCATGGCTTTTAAATGAAGCTATACAGTGTCTGCTTTATGATCCATGTTAATAATTGTCTGATCTCTTCTTTTTTTAAGGATCCATCAAGAAACCATAGGGCCTACAGGCTTACTGTAACTAAACTGGACCCTCCTATAATTCCCTTCATGCCCTTACTCATAAAAGGTAATCTAGAAAATCTACCAGCCTTATTCATGTGAAAGTTAGTTGTCAGATATTTGAAGAGTGAAAGGCAGTAAGAGAAAGTAAAATTCAATCTCAGTGGAAGGTGCAATCCTCTTTTCCATTAAAAAAAAATCATGACATGAAGATAGGTGAAGGAGTTTTCAGTAAATCTGAATGTCAGACTCCAATTGCACTAGCCTCAGTGAGAAATCTTTCAAAGTTTCACTCTAATAAAAGGAGCATGCTTTTTAACAATTAAATGGTATGATTGTTGTAACTGAAGAGATAGAGATACAGTGCTGTGCTGTTTTGTATGTCATGATTCAATTATCTATAAGACTTTTGCATTTATTTCTATGCAGACATGACGTTTACTCATGAGGGGAACAAGACATTCATTGACAGTCTAGTAAACTTTGAAAAAATGGTACGTACAGTATGTTCTCAGCTATGGTTGTATGTTGAGATTTACAGTGGTGCAAAAGAGAACTGATGGTTTTATATCAGAGATTTCTAGGTACAAAATAGGCACACAAACGTCATTTTCTTCTGAAACTGAGTTGCATTGTTGGCACTTTGAGGGCAAATTTCCAGGCTTGGTAGCTCTCCTTCCTGTTGGAAGGGAAATCAATGACACAAAGTCAGGGTTATGTTCCAGTGTAATTTATGTATGAACAATTGTAAACAAGTTCTGTTTACCTAGAAAAGAAGTGGCAACAACTGCACGCAGGCAATTTCCTTTTGCAGAAATCTCAACTAAGAGCCATCTTCCTGCTACTGAGAAGTGGGGGTTTTGTCATTGTCTGTATTGGTTACTCAGGGTATGTCTTCACTTCAGAGTTAACTCAGATGATCAAGCCTAGCCCTAGTGTAAGCCCCCACAGTGCAAGGCCCTACCCAAGTTACTGTGTCCTCCTCTTTGCTGCACTCAGCCATGTGTGCTGCTAGGACTAGTGGGAGCATATTCCATGGTTCTTTGTGCTGCAATAAGCTGAACCACTCTGATTCTTTCCCAGTAAATTGTGGGAGAACTTGTTTGCCCTTCAAGCCCTTGGGGGAATTGTGGGGAGCCCTATCAGCATTTGAGTGATTAGCCTGTGTGCTCACTGCAATGTGGGCAGATTATCAACCCAACTGAATGCATCACTCAGATTTTAGCCTACAGCCCCAGACAAGCCAACTAGCCTGGGTTAAAATCACCACCAAATTCAGGTGAGAGGTTCTTTTTGGGGTGGAGAAGGCGTAGGGGCAATGCCCAGGTAGCAGCCTGAGTTAGTTCTACAGTGAAGGCATACCCTAACTGCATATAAGCACTCTCTGTTCCCTTCTTCTGCCTCAGCCCCGAGCTTTCTTCCTGGGAAAGAACTGTTTGACCAGGACTTCATGGTTTAATTAGGTGGGCATAGGTGCTAGCTCTCCTTTCTGAAGTTGTTGTGCAATACACAGGAACCTCAGACAGGTTTGCCTGGAGTTGGCTTCTGGTCAGTCCCCAGTCTGACAAAAGAAAGTGCTTAATCCTTTTAGTGATAATCTGGGTGTGGTTACTGAATGGTATCTCTAGGTCTAGGCCATCCAGTTAATTCTTGCTATGCACGGTTTCATACTGAATGCTTATATATCGATGACTCATATCGTGCATAACATTAACACCTTCTGCCGTGACGATATATATTTGTGGTGTTAATTATTGTAACAGTGAATCAGGACAGCATTCAGATTTTGTGTGTGTGTGTGTGTACGTTGGCTGCCTATTGCTATAATATACAGTTGTCGATTCCAAATGGACGACTGACTTCATACCATTTTTTGTCTCAAGATTTATAGAGTCTGCCAGCCATAAGAAGGAATTTTTCAAACGCGTATCTCCACAACCTGTTTTTATTATTAGTAGCAGAAGATTTTAGAGGTAGTTTTATACAGCAATACAGTGTTGCCCCTTTTGACCCAAGCAGTTATCCAATATTTAGGGTCTTGTGGATTGTTTCCGACAGGAGGGGAAATAGATGATGAAGTCACATATTTCTTTCATGTAGTTCTGTTCTCCTGAACACAGTAAGAATCAAACAGGAAACAGTTTGTGTGCTCACAGTTCCAAGTCTCTTCTTCAGCCCACACTGTACCCAAAAGTGCTCTCTCTTGCGGTATGTCTACCCTACAGCTGGGAGTGTGTTTCTCAGTGCGGGTAGACAGACACATGCTAGTTCTGCTTGAGCGAATGTGCTAAGAGTAGTAGTGTTGTCGGGGTAGCAGGGTGGCAGGTTGGGCTAGCTGCCCACATACGTACCTCAGGGGGCTGGCCCCGGTGGGTTTGTACTCAGGCAGCTAGCCCAGGCTGCACTGCTGCTTTTAGTGCACTCACCAGGGCCGGCTCCAGGCACCAGCCCACCAAGCATGTGCTTGGGGCGGCGCCTGGAGGGGGGCAGCGCGGCGGGGTGCTCAGGCCCGAGAGCGGGGCCGCGACTGGGCTCGCCGCCCTCCCCGCGGCGCTCTGGCCGGTCGGGGAGAGCAGAGAGCTGCAG